CTAAGACGATCACAATAATTTCGCACCTCTTCAAAAACAACTACATATTTTTCGACACAGGAATAACAAATTTAACTAAACAGCAGCTACCCTTTTAACCACGGGTTTCATGGACTAGCAGCTTTGCCATATTCACTGATATCATTGTTTTAATAGAATTAGTATCGGAATGAAAACTGTGTTAATGTTTTGTCCTGTTTAAAATTGGTAATCTTTTTAAAAAAAAGTTATTTAGAAAATAGTTAAGATATTTGTTATAGAATGACGCTAAAGAGCCAAAAAATTAAATTTGTTAAAATGTTGAATTTTTTTTTGTTTTTCTTTAAAAATATAAGTTTAGAATTTTCGTCAATTTCGGATTTTAAAAAATTCATAACAATTAAAGAGTTAAAGATACGATGATGGGCGTAAGGACTTTTTTATTTTAAATATCCTAAAGAATATAAAAAAAATTAATTCATTGCAAAAAATGCATTTTTTCTGGCTTAATTAATTTTTTGTTGTTTAAACAATAACATCAACAAATATCGAGTGTTATCTTACACTTTTATAATCAGGAAATCCTTCCGGAATTTAAAAAAAAATTACGAATTAAAACAATTTTGCAAACGAATGCACCACTATGCCCCGCACTATAATAAATTCAATCGAAAAATTTATATATATTTTTTTATATTTAATATTATTATAATCACTTAATCAGTTTATCCACTTTAAAAAAATACAATTTTATGATAATAAAAAAAAAATAGAAAAAAGTAGTACCTTTTCTTTCATCTTGTAGATATGTTCCAAACAATATTACACTAGGTAGGTATTTAAAAAATGGCCGGAATCTTAAAATTAATAAAAAAAAATGAAAGTAACTACTCGCACTTTCCTCAAAAACTATTTTTTATAAAAGTAGTCTGATCTTTCGAGTAGGTAGACAGCTTTATAGTTTCGAACCTTTTCGGATTAATTAATAATCATAAGTTCATAATATTCGGCATAATTAACACACCGATCATTGTTTTGAAACTAAGGTTAACTATTAACTAAATTTTAATAGACACGAAAAAAAATTGACTGTCCACATCTTTACGTGATATTCGGTTTTTGGCTTATCGTTTATTTCTGTTTTGAATAGCCCGGCGTGATGTTTTGAATAGTTTGATAAAACCACTGAGATTGTATTCTAGAAAAATCTATATTAATGTATTAATAAAGGAAATTTTAGAGTTTTTTGGAAAAGCACCCCAAATAAAAAAAGTTGAGACAAAATATAAGCAACCTCGTCTGGTCGTCTTTACAGTCGGCGCAAATCAAATGTAATCGCTCTTTGGTTATCATGGTTATTATGGCATTAAGAAGATTTGTCACAAGAAGAGGTCGGACACGTGTAATATATTCTGATAATGGAACAAACTTTGTAGGAACTAATAATGCACTACAACAAATAAACTGGAACACAAAATAAAATGGATATTTAATATACCTATGCTGCGTGGTGGCGAGGATTCTGGGAGAGAATGGTAAGATTGGTTAAAGAATTTTTGAGAAGAAATTTAGGAAAAGCTTGTGTCAGTTATGACGAGTTAATGACGATTTTGTGTGATTGCGAGGCCATTATTAATAGCAGACTCTTAACCTACATCTATGAAGACAATAGCTCCTTAAATCCTTTGACTCCATCCATGTTTTTAATGCACCAGACAGTGACGTTCCAGACTCCATAGACAGAATTCACATAGTTGCACGTTATCGCTACATACAAAAATCTGTGAAACCATAGCGATTCGGATTATTTGAAACTAGGGCAACGATATGATTCCTAAGATTCCTAACATACTCCCCGCTTAAAGAGAAGAATAATAAAATATACAAAACAAAATACAATAACAAAAATAACTAAAACCCAAGCCGACAAGGTGGTTTAACAATTCTTCCTGCTCTTGTTACCGTTCTGGATTTAACATTTTCAATCGTCCTTTCTTCTTCTTTCTGTTTCATCTCTTTCGTCTTTCTGTTTGTTATTCGATCTCGATTTTCTTTGTCTGTTTTCAGAAGCCTATTACATTGTTTGGTTTGACTTATTTCTAAGGGGTAAACACGTTGAAATGGTCTTAAAAGTTCTCCCTTTTGTGTTTTTATTCTTACTGTTCTTGGAATTCCATCTTTTTCATGAATGACTTTTGTTATTCTACCTATTGGCCACTGAATCCTTTTTATATTATACTGACCCACACGTACAATATCTTCAATTTTTAAGACGGTATTATCACAAATGTTGATAATAAATGAAGATGGAGAACGTTAAAATCTAAGGTTAAAATATTATTTCAGAAAAAATCGTTTTTTCTTTTTTCAATAATCTTTCAAAATTGACAAAACTACAAAAATCTATGAAAACATAGCGATTCGGATTATTTGAAACTAAGGCAACGATATGGTTCCTAAGATTCATTTTGTAGTTTTATAGATATTTTTATAAAAAAGATGTAAGAAACAAATGAGAAATTAAATACACTGAGCATGCGAAGGCATCACAAAGTCACTATTATAGTATACATCTTAATCTTCCTAAGAATATTCCTTACATCAGTTCATGGAACTATAATAAATATCAGTCATCTATAATTACTCGTTTGAAGCTCAATCACGGCCGATTCCCTGCACATTTATGTAAAATTGGAATATTGGATTCTCCCTTTTGTCCATATTGCAATATAAACGCTGTAGCAAATATCAATCATTTATTTTTAGATTGTAATAAAAATGCTCAACATACCACCGTATTATATGAAGATTTAAATAAACTTTCACTCCCACTTCCACTTAATATTTCTTCACTTTTAGTTCAATCAGATAAGATAATTTTTGACACTATTATTAAATTTACTCAAAATACTAAAATAGATAATTTAACATAATATATATGAAAATTATTAAGTTTAAACTTTCTGTGGTAAATAGACTTGTATGTCTAATGTCATCCCATTAATAAAAAAAATCTGATGTGTCCAACACATGACTTTCCTATCTAGTTATTATAGGCTTTTTCCGGTTATTTTGTACAACATATTGCAGCACCTCTATAAATGTTTAGAGGATAAACTAAATATATACATTTTACACATACATCTACCTCGAAACATTTTTGTATAGATATTCATTGAAAACGAAAATACTGAAAAATTAAATTTAGCACTTTTCCTACAATTTTTCCATTACGGTCCATTTTAGAAAAAATCAGGTATAAACAAAAATTATAGAGATCGATATCGCAAACAACTTTTAGTTCAACAATGTTCATAAAAATCAGAATTTTGCACATTTTGTCAAATTTCTCGAATACGGACCATTTCAGGAAATTTTGACATTAAGCAAAAATTATAGATAATAATATTAGAAGTACCTTTTATTCGAACAATTTTTTTCTCCAAACAAATAACAGATATATTCCATAAAATATAAAAACGGCCTCCCATAAAGTACCCCCCAGATGTTCCGACTTTGTCCAAAATCTAATCATTTCACGTCAGGCCGAAATAAAACTTAAGTTTAAAATTTAATGTTTTTTCTTTATCCGTTTTTGAGTTTTCTTCAAATTTCGAAATTTACACATTTTCTCAAATATCTCGAAAATTATGTATAGGATAAAAATTATAGAGAATTATATTACAAACAACTTTTATTTAAACAATTTTTATAATAAAATATTTTTTACATTTTGTCAAATTTCTCGAATACGGACCATTTTAGGAAAATTTTGTATAAAACAAAAATTATAGATAATAATATAAGTGTAAAGAATTTTCTTCCCCAAACGTAAATAACAGATATATTCCATAAAATATAAAAATAACCACCTATAAAGTACCCCCCCCCCCCAGATGTTCCGACTCTGCCCAAAATCTAATCAGTTCATTGGACACTGGAACAAAGCTTAAGTTTAAAATTTGGTATTTTTCTGTGTATCAGTTCATGAGTTATGGTGGACACACACACACAAACACACAATCATCGCGAAAATAGTCAAAACGGATTCAGGGGACCTCAAAAAATCCGTTGAAAACTCGAGATCGAAAAAATCATGATTCCCGTACTTTCCTTATATCTGTATACAGATAGGAAAGAGTGCGAATGGCCCTAAGTCTGTCTTTGGCCAGTGGTGTTACAAAAAGAGAGGAGAATTTTGAGAATAGAAATATATTATTTTTATCAGTGCCGTTTTTTCGAATCGATCTTATCTACATTAATTACTGAGGCCCTTCCTATGGGACCTCAGTATTGCATTCGTGTAGACGAAAACATTTTCTTATCCCCATTTTTTAAAACTTTTTTTCATGTTTCCGATCATTCTGAGTCCGAAAATGCAAAAAAAAATGTTCGTCTGGTCGTCTGTGTGTATGTATGCCGGCACGATAAGATAAGACGCTAATTTTGCACTAAGAAGATCTCTGGGATATTAATCAAAAACCAATTTTTTGTACTACCATGCGTAAAGTAAAAAAAGGTACTTTTATTTCTAATATTAGTGGATAATGTGTACGGTAGTAGAAAAAGTATTGTATGCAACTCATGTGTAAAGTCCCTTTGTTGACTCATGTGACAACATTAACATTCGTCAAAAAGGAGTAAGTTAACACACTTATTGCATAAATAACTATTTTTTAAACTTTGACACGGTGTACCTGAAAACTAGACATTTTAGGACACATGTGTATATTAACTTTTATTCTTGATTCATAAATGCGCCCTTGGAATTACGGCCTAAAATTAAGTAGCACCCTGTATATTGTTTAATGTTAAATTAAACTTTTTTACGCAGTTGTATTAAATACTTGTTTGTGTTTATTTTTTATTAATTTTTTTTATTTTTTACATTTACATTTAAATTTATAATATAAATATTAGTCTAAATACACCACCTATTAATAGTATGTAAACACAATGTATTCATTATTGTATCCAAAAATCAAATTTTTACCTTGTTATTAGAAAAGAAAATTACTTACTCTTTATAACACATAACTACAAAAACAAACAAAACTAACTCCCAATATCTTGGAAAACCTTTTTATATAGATAAAACCTTTTAATTGGCACAGAAAAATTATAATTTGTTATACATTTTTGACGTTTGAAATATTCCATGCAATTTTCTGATAACAGTCTAAGTACGATATTATCAATAGTGTCATGTGGTAGTGTAAATTATAAAAGACAAAAATATGGTGCTTTTGTTTATTAATCCAATTCGATATGTATTTATTTTAGTTATCAGTTGTGTTCTTTTTGATTCAACGTTTGAGGGTAAGTACAAATAATCAAAATCATGGTTGATATTTCTTGCGTGATTTAATTTGAAGTATTTTTTTTATACAAAATACATTGGAAACTTAATTAACTTATTTTAGTACAGTTATCTAAATTTACACCAAGGCAAAATTGCTGCAAAATAAGCCCAAATCATCGTTATGGAAAATCCTAGTTTGGAGGTTATTCAAAATGTCTGCTTACGTATATTATATCGTAGATGTATAGTGCAAAGTGCAATACAACCTTTTAAAAAAGCAATTTACAATATCTATTGTAATTTGTTTAATGCTAATGTTAGCTACGTACACAACTTCTTTTGGTTCCTTTTAATTTTCATGAAAGGACTATACAATTCATTTAAAAGTTATGCCACACGATGCGCTTTAGGATTTTCATGACATGTTCCTTTCAATGTCTTAGAAATTCGAGAGGACCTCCATGGACAAACTCGTAGCCCCTTTAATCCTTAAGCCTCCAATGTAAAATTATTTGATCCATTTACTTCTTAAGCCTGTCCATGTAAAAACATTGAGGCCCTTTGCCACTTAAGCATGCCTTATTTGGTACCTTTAAGCTTGCTAATATCGGGGCCCTTTACCTTTTTGTTTCTATTATTAAATTCAGTTACGAGTTCCATTCTGAAGTTTGTTAAATATCGTGCAAAACTTTTACTTATATTTAATTCAGCAACCCCTTCACTTAAAAACCAATATTATTCTAATTTTGCTATATGCCCATACATGAGGATACTCAGAGAACTGGCCCCAGGACACTTCCTTGGGGTACTTCTGCTTTAATGTAACATTTATCTATGAAGCACACCGTATATTTAGGACAATTAGATTGCTCACGTGTTTCCTAATTAAACGTACGAATAAATCGACCTCTGCTCCTTGTAGATGTCAATATACGGTTTTTAAAAATTTCCAAACAACGTTATCATTGACCTTCCCTTTATGAAATTAACATCGAAAATAATACTTATTTGTTAATTCTAAAACATCCAAATGATGCTTGTTGTTATGCTACCTTTCTAAAATAATATGTTGGAAAGTGTTAAAAAAAATTATTACCATTCATTTGCATTTTGCATGTTAAAAGGTTCACTTTCAAAGCAGAAAATGTTATTTACAGGATGCTTTACAGCTAAATCTACGTATTTCAACTGTAAATAGGAAATACCTAGACGTCATTTCTTTTTAATTTTATAATTTTTTTTGGCAAAGTCCTAATATGTTTTATAATATTTGAGCATCTTACGGTCCGCTCTTTCCCGAGTACCTACCAAGAATATTCGATCTAATGGTGCAATTTGCCTACCCATCAGCTCCAAAATATATGATGGAATGTTTAGCTGTCTAAGAATTTGTTAATAGTCTCCGTGACCATGAATGCAAAACTTTGCTCATGAATTTAAAACGGCTACGCTCTCTTCTGGTGGACTGTAAAAGAAGACGACCAAAATGAATTCGACCAACTATTTAACATGATAAAAACCTTATTGACAAGAAGACGAAGACTATCAGGTGTTGGAATTGCGGTGAAATGGGAACTATACGCAGTTTGCGCAAACGCGCTAGGACACTACAAATCGAAAAATCGTGCCGTCAGTTGCATTGGAATCTGAAGATAAGCGATACGCCCTCTACTATGAACTAAATGTTGTGGCCATTTGACACTTGACAGTCTGTGTTCTGTCAAGTTTTGTTTATTGTTTATCAGGTCATGTCAATATTTTAAAATTTAACAAGTATTTTGTTTGAAATATCTTATTTATCTAATGTTTTAAATTTTTTTCATATATATTAAAATATATTATTTGGAATATAAGTGGAATATCAGTGAAAAACACACTTGTTGTGTGCCTCAATGCAGCCCTGAAAAAATGGACCCTTCTCTTACATTTCGTTTGCTTTCTAAAGTTGATAAATGTACGGTAATTTTTATAAAATGAAAGTGGAAATTCTGAACTTGTAGTTGCAAGAAATGCATGGTTACAAAAGTTGAAAATTGAGAAGCCAGTATAAAAGTATTTGAAAGTTGTTCCAATGCAAAGCATTTTAGTATATTATACAACGATCATGTAATGATGGTTATTAATAAACGAGCATTAACCGGGATACGAGTTTCATATGGTTTATGCGAGTGTATTAATAACTATTACATGAGAGTTGCATACGCTATTTTTTCTACACCCGATAAATAATCAAGAACTATAAATATTATATTTATATTTGTATTGAACACAATAACAGTAATTTTATTAGGGGGTGGATGGCTCAGTAATAGTCTCTGCCTGCGGATCCAAGGGTCCCAGGTTCGAATCCCACCGTTGGCCGGGGTTTTTTCAATTAATTTAATTATTTAAAATTAATTCTGATGCCTTGGTAGGATTCCCCACTCGACCATTCACTGTTTGGTTCTAAATAACAGTGCTGTTTCTAAAATGGCGCTGGGAAACAGTAACAAAGCCTACACATAACATGAGGCGAAATAACCAAAGTATTTGAAACCGATGACACAAAAAAAACAGTAATTACTCGTATTTCTATAAAAAATTCTACAAAATTGTAATTAATGGTATTACCTTGGGTATTGGTATTACCACAGATTTTTGGGGCAAAATATTTTGTACTGCATTTTCTGCTTTCTCCGATATGTGTAGAGTCTTCTATATCTATATCGCTCATATCAGATATTTTGATATAGTATATTACATTACGAGTGTGGAAAGTGACATTTTTCACACGAGTGGGAAATATTGTCGCACGAGGCACAAGCCGAGTGCGACTATCACACGAGTGTGGAAAATCACTTTTCACACAAGTGAAGTACAATATTTTTCCTACGACCACAAAATAATGTCATCAAAAAATGTAAAACCATGTTATTATTACTATAATAATTAAAATTTATTTAAAAAAATAATCAACAATAATGGTATTTATTCAATTTTCATATTTTCTAAACAAAAAAAAATAAAAAAAACAAAAAAAATTCTGGCCCCGCCAGGATTTGAACGCGGTCGCTTGCCAGGTCCTCTCAAATGGCAAAATTGATAAGTTCGACGTACTAACCAACTGAGCTAATAGCCCTTACGTCAATTGTATGATCTAATTGGTTATGTACAGAGATAAGGGAGATAAAGATAGGAAACGCCCATAAGAAGCCAATGCTTAACAACGACCAGCTTTATCGCAGTTAACATCTGACCCACTATGTGGCGCTTTCATAGATATCAAACAACGCAGCGGGAAATTTTTAAACTTGATAATAAAGGTTGCAAACATATCGACTGCACTCTCATGTTGTTGTAAATAAACTTAAACAATGTAATTATGCTAAATTATTTATTAAAAAGAATACTACACTTACAGTTTATTATCGACTAATTATTGTAAATCTGTATTCTTGAAAAATATTTTTTAATGTTTAATTGTTATTTGTAACACTGCATTTTTGTTTTTATTTTGGTATCTTGTTTAAAAATGTTGAGTGCAAATTCAATAATGGGAATTCAGATATTTTTCTTCCTATATCAAATCTTCTTTCTAACGTTTTGAAGCCATTTTCTTGTTCTAAAACAATAAATAATACATAAATACCTACTTTGTGACAAAAGTTGATTACTATTTGTATTACTTATATGAATTGATCTTACCTACTTTGGTTAATTAAAGAATGCCACATTGGGGTTGTTAAATTTGTTCATGTGGCATGTGTTACTAATGCAATACGTTCTCCGACTTATCGTTATATTACAAAATATAATTATTGTCCTTAAATTTCACACAAAACAGCCACAACTATTTCGCTCAGTTCGTCTAGAGGATAACACAATCATGAACTCAAAATTTAAAATTTAAATTCAGGATTCTTCGATATACATAAAACTGACATTTATATTTACAAACTGTCCACTGCTGTCCACGTCTACTGTCTGTCTGCAGTGTTGCCAACCGTACGATTTAAATCGTATTTATACGATTTTTTAACTCTCTGTACGATGTACGATTGCATCAGTGAGATCGTACGTAAAAATAGGATCTTCACTTTTTAGTAGGTTTATTTAAATATCTGCAACAGCTTCAAACATAAAACAATAAAAATCAAAAACTACTTGCAAAGATTTAGAGGCCGTTCGTAATTTCTGAAGGCAGTCATTTTCGTTCTGACTTATCGTGATTTTGACCATGGTGATTTTGTACAATGACTATCACGGCATAAGAAAAGCTTGCATGCAAAATTTCAATCACTTTCAAGTGACAGTCATTGATTACTTTAAATGTGTTAATTTAAAGTTTCATGTATTTTCCTTAGTTTTTTCTCGTTGTAAACATTTTTATAAATAGATAAATAAATTATTATGCCAAAGTTTTTTTTTATTTTTTCATTCCATTTAAGCATTGTATTTAGATCAACTGGTAAAACAATACCAATGCAAATTATCTTGGAGGACAATGGACAGTATCAATAGATGGCAGCAAGCTCCGTGGTGTCCAAGTCATGTCTTTGATAATTTTGTCGTCTTCGAAACGAACGTAATTTCTCTATTTACTAATAGATGGGCCCATAATCGATTCAGAATATTTGTTTTAAAAATGGAATATACCAGTTTAATTATGCTTGTTGAACATTTATTTACGATTTATTATCATTTTAGAGAATATAAACAATAGTAATTTAAATTTAGCACTCTACACATATGAATTTAAAAATTAAGAAAATTTTATGTATATAGAATTCTGTACTCAATGATCGAGGAAGCGCTAGCGTTCCGGCTACTTTGATGAATTTCTAACAGATGTCGCGACAGAATTGCCTCCAATGAAACGTCCATAAGGTTGTTTCTACTATCTTCTCTAAATACAATGATTTAAGTTATATTATGCTATGCATGTATTTATTGTACAATTTTTTGTCGAAATACCATTTTTCTACTCTACTTGTACGATCTCTCAAACAAAACTATTTGGCAACACTGGTCTCTCTACAAACGACGTAAACCTGTAGTTAACATCTGAGACGCTAGATGTCGCCATCGTTGCTGCGGTCGTTGCGTTTCCAATCTTTATGTCCCTAATCTCTGGTTATGTATTTAACCAGAATAAAGAGCAAACATAATCTTAGTTATTTTAAAATTATTTTAATAAAAATTGTTAAAGATAAATATTAGGATCTAATTTACAACAATTTTAATAATTTAACAATGATATTAATTTTAGTATTAATATGGACATTACATATATCAAAATAGAAATTATGTGTTTGGCATTTTGTAACAGCTACTGCGGAAAGTAGCATATTCGTACACGGGTGGAAAGTAAATTCTTATTCATACGCGTGTGATATAGGGCACTTTCCATAGGACTATATAGTGTAATATGTGTCACTTTCCCAAGTGGTCGTAGGAAAATATAATTATCGAAGTTTAGCTATCTACGAAAATTTAATACGTACTGATTTTGACAACTAAATCAATTACATAGGAACCTAACACAAACGTCAAATGCACAGCAGACAACCAGATAGACAGACTGTAAATACTATTCAAATTTAATTATCTACTACGCCAGTAAGTCAATTGTATTGGAACATTTTTAAAAACAATACAATCGGCATAATTTTACAATTGCTTATCAATTAAATTCTCACAAAAAAATCTAAAAATGTTTGATAATCAAAATCGTGAATAACATAACAGTTCGGGTACGTACGTCACTGACTCGTCGCTTGTCAATTGGCTTTTATTATGATGAAAAAATATTGTCAAACACGGCATATATTTTCATATAAAAGTTTTTAAAAGGATCCAATATATTTTAAAGAGATATTCTTCTTTTCTTTTTCTCTATCTTCTCTATCTTCTTCTTTTAAAAATTTTGTAACTTCATTCCGTATCTGAATTAAGTTTTTTTCTTTTTTAGAATGCGGTAGGCCAATTGGAAACGAATTTCGTCTAGAGGAAGACCGCGTGGTTGCTGGGTACGATATCGGTTACTACAGGTATCCATGGTACGCCGTTCTTACTAGGTACAATATGGTATCGTGCGGGGCTACATTAGTTGGTCCCAAGACAGTTGTTAGCGCTGCTCATTGCTATAAAGAGTTTTTAGACTTGGCAAGGTAACAAATAAAACTAAAAGGTTTTCTTTCACTGCAAGAATTTATTCTTTGGTTATGGTTGTTTGAATAATGAACTTTTCCATACCTCTACATTCTCGTAAAAATCACATCTATTAAGTAGGAGCTGTCCTCTTGCTTCAATACAATTTACACAATAGTATAAAAATATATTTCCTGTAAACGGTAGAAAGATAACGTACACAAACCCGCCTAGTAACAGCCGAGAATAATAACATAATATTGTTTATTTACTGAAATATTTATTTAAAAAATTACATTCATAGAAACAACAAGAAATGAATAAACGGTTCTAGTATACATCGCCACCTTGCTTCAACCTAATATTTCGTTTAAAAAAGACCCCCAATAACTTCATTGTTTTCTGATGCCATCCCATTACAAAAAAAAAAAAAAAAAAAACTTCATTGTGTCTCTATGTAGACGAATCCATTATATAATGAGGTGGCAAATAAGCTACGGTTCACCAAACATACACCAAACACAAGACACTGAGAGTCTCTCCAACTGTTTAACCAGCAAAATTATTTCAACTAGCCAATATCGTTTTTCGGAGTCTATATAATCGACTACCGAACCATCCACACCATCAATTTGTTAAAGTTATGTTATTGGATGTAATTGCTTATAATCTTACATTGGATAGTAGAAGTCTCAAGTTCTTTAGGTAATCTGGCAAATTGCCATTTTTTACCTTTCTATTTTTATTTATTAATTCGTTTTCTGGGTTATACATTACCAATGGTTTTTCTTGTTATTTCTGGTATGTTGTTCCTTGAACATTTTTTTCAGCTCGTACTCTAGTTGATCTTTAAAATGTACCCAATCTGTCTTTTTGAGATTAGATTTGAGATTGTATTGAAGTAGTAGGTATTTTCTGCCATGTTAAGTATAAGAGTCGTATCTGCATGTTTGGCAGATTTTGAGATTTCCGGATATATCATATCATTTCAAATACGACATATAATCTTAACATAGTATACATACAATGTATTTACTTAACAATGAAGTAGATACGACAAATCCTTCTAACAACGGGTTTGGCGCGCAATCTGACAGTTTGAGTATTTTGACGCTTATACCTTGTACATAACCTCAAAAAAGTATTTATTTACTTCTGAATAGAGATTCTTATGTGCGTACTCAACACGTAACAAATGGAATAGAGAGAGAGAGAGAAAGAGACATTACATACGAATCGCATTCTGTAGAACGAAGATAGTCGTCTCAACACGTGCCGAATTGAAAGAAGAAAATCCCAATACTGTTTGGTATGTTTCTTTACAAAATAAGTGAACTGTGGCCTTAAATTTATTGTTAAAGTGATACCTACTTTATTTATTTATTCATTTATAGTACTTAAAAAGAAAGTAAGTTAGTTGTCATAATACATTTGATCACATCAACACATCAGCTCCGAGCAATTGCTTGGAGCATATCAGTGTGTAGCCAGCGAAGCCTTTTATTAACATAGAGCCTATTTTTAGCAGATCTATGCGATTGTTGCAAGCAGTGGCAAGGAAAAACAAAGAGCTGGCCACTAAATTAGACGAATTTAAAAAAAATGCTCAAACACGCTTAACAAAAAATTATGAAAGAGATGATTTTTAGATCCCATCATTGTCTGACACATCAAGTTTAGAAGCAGTAGAAGAAAAAGTGAAACCTGAATTTCCTTCGATTATTATCCATCAAAATGTTGTAATTCAGATTCAAACAATAACAAATAATAATATTATTGCTTTGGTTACCGAAATTGTCGATAACGTGATTGATGCTGCAATTGAGCAATCCGAAAACCAAGAAGCCAGTTTATATACAAAAACAGGACTGCTCCGAAATCGCAGAAAAAACAAAAAGTCGAAGATAAGAATAATAAGCTTTTATTAAAAGATCCATATGGAGACAGGTGCAAGAAATGCTGTATCAAAAACATTTCAAAAGAATAACGTGTAAATATAAATTTGAATTTCTGGCAATTAACGGATTTAGAGCAAAAAACTGTTGTATTAAATATGACATAAAGGAAAAATGCAAAGAGAAAGTTATCTTTAGATTCACGAAGATCAATGATTTTTACCTACATGCTCAAAGATGATAATGGTACAATACAGGAAGTGTGCAAAATATTTTTTTTTTGCAACTCTTGGATATTTGCCTAACAATTATCGAATTATTCGAAGTGCATTCTCTTTCGCTACTAAACACTCAAAGGCAGAAAAATCTCGACGAGGTAGCACTAGTTCATCAAAAAAGATAGATCGTACTATAATCAGACAGCATATAGAGTCTTTTAACCCATCAATTTCTCATTACAGGAAGGAGCACGATCCTATAGGAGGTAAGTTCCTAGTGATGTTACCATAGTAATGATGTACAATGACTTTAAGGCAAAACATCCAACTAATAATTTTTCCTATTATTTCATTCGCTGCTCTTGGACACGAAGCTTACTTCACTTGTGCAGCATTCAAAAATCATTAAAGCAGCACCAATCATGACTCCAAGAATTTGGAAAACGACTTCGTCGTGTTTAAATCATGGAATAAACATATTGGAATGGTGAAGTCAGCTCGACAATAATATCAAATTGACGCTGAAGCTGATAATTTCAACATACTGGCATGTTTCAGCAGATCTTCAGAAGGTAAGATATATTTATTTTATATTTTTTCCTGCTAGTTTTTTTTTTTTTTTCAGGTCATTATGCTTCCGCGATGAAGGTGAAGGAGGTGATTTTCGTACCTCGTATCATTGCATTCAATGAAAGTATTGTTCCAATAGGAAAAAACACAAAAAATTTCCCACGGCAGTAATTTGTCACGAAGCCTTGTCAGGACAATCCAAAGAAGACATAATTAGTGTTTTCTATGCTTTTCTGGATAATAGAAATGCTGAAAATGTTATTTTGTGGTTGAACAACTGTGCAGCCCAAAATAAAAACTGGGCCTTCTTTAGTTTCTGCGTATATCTAGTAAATTCTGCTGACGTCGCTTTAAATTCTCTAACTCTGAAATATTTTGAACCGGGACATACGTTCATGTCAGCTGATTCTTTCCATCCCCAGGTGGAGAAGTCCTTACAGCAAATGAAAAAGTATATGATTTCGGTGATTACAAAGATGCCGTTCAAAAGGAGAACTCGTCGAAAGTGAAATTAATTGAAATGAAAATTAACAATTTTTTTAATTGGGAAGACAAGAATTCTCAATATAAATTAAGCAGAATATATCCTCGGCCATATTTAAGTGATATGGTGCAGGTTAATTTTGAAATCGGAAAGCAGTCATTATCCTACAAATGTAAATTTGATTAACAAGAGGCAGTAATATTAAATTTTTTAGTAGCAAAACACCAAAAGTTTAGAAAAGCCTAAATGCAAGACTGTCTGTCGTGGCATAAGTCAAGCTAGAAAAGACACTCTCATAAACTGACTTCGTGGAATTATTCCCATTACTAGAATAAACTTTTGGAATAATTTTCCTATTTCCGAAAATCCTGTACAAGAAGACGAGTAAATTAATAAAAATCTTAATTGACATAATAGTTCTGTGAATTTTTTAGGCATAAGTGTTTTTGTTTTTAGTTACAATTAGAAAAGTTGTTTTAGTTAAATACCGAAAATGTTGTTTAAGTTACACAGAGTAGTTTATTAGTTTTTGGGCTCCTGGAAAATAAACATCTCATTTCAAAGACCCCTATTTGAAAAAACTGATGTTATAATAAACATTTAACTCGAAGTGTTGTAGTTTTTCTATACAGTAGTAGATGGTCACTTACGACTAATCATGTTAATATTTTAGTTGCTCATTGTAAAACAAATTTGTCATAACTAACAAAAACATCATTAAGCTCTAAATTTGCGCAAAAAAGAAGTCTATAATTCAAATTCTATGAAAAAATTTTATACAACTTGTTAACTTTTGTTTCCAAAATAATAATACTTACGATGGCAAAAAGATTAACACTTTTGATTTTCTTGAAACTTTTAAAAATGCAGATACGGCTCTTATACCTAATAGGGCAGTATTGATGAATGATAGTTTATATTATTTAATTAAAAACTTTTTTTTTTAGCAAAGGAGTGGTTAAATTGGAACAAATTTACATTGTAAAATTAGGAGTATATAACATTTGCACTACAGAAAAAACAGCGAGAGATTACACCGTTGATAAAGTTTATATACATCAACTTTACTACACGAAGAAACCTTACTATGATATTAGTCTGTTAAAGTTATCTAGTGATACAAACGCTTATAGGCCTATTTGTCTACCACCACCTCGTAAGTCCGTTTATACCCGAGAATACCGATCAAGGAGAAGCGACAGTAGCTGTCGGTGCCTTTGATATCGGATGTACCTTTTTCACAGCATGACTTTGATTGATACAAAACTTGGCACGCTGAGAAAACATGCTTATTTTCTACACTGAGCGAAATAGTTTGGCAAATTTTCTGAAATTATTGTTATAGTCCATGCGCAAATGTTGCAATGTGATTTAATTACATTGAAGTAGTTAGGGTTAATAGCAATGGTGAAATTTCGGAACCAAAATATAATTCATTATGTAATAATTAATTATTTGTTATAAAAGTAAAAGACGTTTATTATTTTATATTTTATTTATAAAATTTGTTCAATATTTGGTTTATTTATTGTTAAAAATGTAATAAAAGCCCTATATTTAGTCCAAAAACAGACGTTCTCTGAGTATCGATATTCAGCTGTCAATTTAATTAGCATAAACGGACGTATACTGGATGCCCGGATATGGACGTCCTGACCCTCAAATAGATCTAAAGTGGACGTCCATTGGACTATGTGTGCATAGACGAATTTTTAGAAATAATACTTATTTAAGTATGCACCAATATTTCCAAAATCAACTCCAGTATGATTCATTCAATAAATGTAAATATGAATGGGCAAAACATCTTTATATTGACATAATTGTAACTAACAATTTAGCCATAATAAAGGGATTTCGCCCACTTTGACCAATCCTAATTGAAACACGCGAAATTATTATATTTTTTTTAAATATAATTTCAAAATAAAATTAACAAAATTTGCAGTTCATTGTTTATTAAATTTATTTAAAAGAAGAAAAACATATATTTCACAAAATACAATACCTACATATGAAAAATAAAATGTCAAAAATGATTAAATCATTATACTTAATATTTATGCATGTGATAAAATTCTTAGTTTCCTAATAACTTTTTGGGCACATTTTATATATCTGTATTAGAATACCCAAGTGTGTAAAATATTCATCTTATTACTACACAAAACAAACACCAAAAAATATCACTCAACATTGCTCACGTACTAAACACAACTTGGACTGACTTTGACAGATAACATAATTTTGAGTGATACACAACTTATTTTCGCACATGCGCGTTTCAAAACGGTACACTGAAAACACCAATCTGTCGCTTCTCCTTGATCGGTATTCTCGGATTTATACGTTATAGAACGTCACCGCACTTGACAGAACAACACAGCACGTTACGACACGTCCCGTGGGATTTTTTATAACTAATATTTTTATTTTAGATTTAAAGAAGCCTCTTGATGGTACGGTACCGGGATTAGGTACCTTAAGATATCACGGGGCGATGCCTTGTACTGTTCACGAAGCCAGATTGTTAATTCACAATAATACAGAGTGTTCTAATATGATGAATAATACTGGAAACGATCCACATTTAATGCACAACTCATTTTGTGCTGGATATATACAGGGCGGTATTGATACATGTCAGGTAAATTTGGGTGTGTAATACGGATCAAGATTTTTTGAACATAAATTTAAACGAGCAAGATAAATTGTTGCTTTGGTACTTTCATTGTATTTTTATATTCCTGTTTGATCATTATTATCGTTACTTTAAATAACTGTGTGTATCGATTTACATCAATTTCTTTTGTTTTTTGTTAAATCAATATTAAATTTTGGATCGATTTTAATTTTTTATAATTTTCTATTTCTAGGGTGATAGCGGAGGACCTCTTCAATCTATGAACGAAAATGGAGATTATATTTTAATAGGTAAGTATCTATGAATATGATAATCAAAGTTGTAAGTAAAAAAAATTAACTCACTATGAAAATTTGCCAATCCCAGGTCCTTTTATTTTTAAATTGCACTTATAATTTATAGGTATGACATTTTTATTCATTATTAAATAAGTTATAGGTAAGTTTATAAAAATTTTTTGGCCTTAAAAAAAACGAACATTTTTATCAGATAATTATTAAACTTACTTAGCTTAAAACAAAAATTAAATTAAATAAAACATGTGTACCTAGGTATAAATAAAATACAAATAAACTTTGCGATTTACTTAAATATTTGAATAGATAGATAATTTTATATTTTATAACATTTTCTGGCTTTCATATATATTCTGATATATATTTATGGATTCTGCAATAAGCCTTTCTATGGATAATATGGCAATAAGTGAATAAGCTGTGGTATTAGCTCATCCTTCTTGGGACACTGTCGATGTTAAATAATTTTAATTATGGAAGAGTTCTTTAACAAGAAGCACAGGTGACTGGAATTTTAAGAAACATTTGTAATGCTGTAGCAAAATTGATACTCTACCAGTATCCCAAATTTATGTAGGTTTTGGTTCATTTCCAATGCAGAATGACACTGAAAATCAGAAAGTTCTTGCGCTTGAAAGTTTTAAAACTTTCTGCCTCCTAAATAAATTCATTGCAATTCGAACCCACTTACTCTTGTTCTATACGAACAGTCGCACTTCCAATTAAGCTATCGCTGACATAGTTAAAGATTTCCAAATTGTCAAGATAGATATAGGATTTTGAATCTTCAACGCGCATTCTGAAATGTTCTAAACTCATACTTTTGCTTCACCTTAAAGATAAAGTGAGAATAACGATATACCTAAAACTCATGTAGGTAGGTAATATTGTCATGAGAACGCCTGAGCCAACTTTGTCTAAAGCTCGACCTTGAAGTCTGCCACCCGACTCATGGTCAAAACCGGAATCTTCTAGGTATGCCGCATAGGGCAAGCACTTCGCGAATGCTTCATAATTCTTCCAACAGGATTGGTTCTTTCTAGGTCATTACATTTTTATATAAATAGCCGCGACTTTGTCGATAAAGACGATTCAATTTAAGTGTTGGACAGTAAAGGCAAATTGTAATAAATAAATTAGAATTGTGAGTTAGTGCCTAAGTATTATATAAGTTAATTAGTACATTAAAAATAAATTATGAATAAAGTGTTTTAAATAAATAAACTATAAATAAATTAAACAAACGTTACAAAATGTACAAATTGATTTCAAATAAAATGCGTACATGGACAAGATATTTATCAGTGTAGTTGCGCCATTTATTTTTCATCCGTCTAAACCTGTCATTAAACAATAACAATTAGCAGATCGTGCCCAAGTGCCTATTGAAAAGCGTAGATATAGCTATATACCTATTTTACGCACATATTTTATGTGAAACCAGATGTACATATTTTTCCGTTAACCGTGTACTAATCCATCCAGTTAATATTGACAAAATCGGGCATTAATTGGCCTCATTAATGGTCGACTTTTTATTAATATCCCGATCATCTCCTCCCAACATGCCTACCAAGCTCGACAAGCTTCGACAACCTACCTTGGCTGATGAAGCCATTCCTTTTGCGGAGGAGGTAAAATATCTGGAGATTATTTCAGATAAGAAACTCACCTGGAACCCCCAATTGGAAAAAACCTCTGGACTCTCAGAAGGATATGCAGCAAACCATGGGAGATCAGTCCTCAACTGATTTACTGGATATACTCAGTGGCGGCTCGTGGGCACTAGCGGCAGTGGAACACACACTGGAAAGGAATCCCGGGATTCGTTTTTCCCTTAGGAAAACAAGTTCTCCGCCTAATGAAAATTAAATATATTTCAAAACAAATTAAATATTACAAAATTGAAGACTAACTGCTAGGTACCGCTACAGTTGTATACTATTTCTTATAGTTGAAGTCCATTCTTCTGGATGTTTGGCTAGCAAAATGATCGATGACCAGATTATTAAAATTTAGAATGGACCGAATAAGTTTTTTTTCGATGGATAACATGGCTAACGCGCACAATCTATCTTGGCACATAGTGTTCCTTAAAAATGTTTTAATACATTTTAGTGTCGAAAAACATCTTTCACTCTCCACTGTGGTCATGGGAATTGTACATAGGATAGTTAGCAGCTCCACAGATTCCGAAAATGTAATTGTCAAATTGTTCTCAAAAAACATTTGCAATAACGGTACGGCCCCATTGTGTTGCAAAGTCATCTCGAATGTAAAGTATGGACAGTTCGTTTTTGAATTTTAATCTGTTTACGTTTGGAAATAAACTACACACAGTTTTAACGTCCTCATTTGGAAAACAACCTCGGTAGTCTTTAAATTTTTCTCTATCAAATAAACTTGCAATTGTTAGGTGGGTAGTAAAACTAAAATGTTCATTTACCTGCACTACAATTGTATCACAAATTTCCTTACATATCCTTAAATTAGGAATGAGGTTCTCCTTTTTAACAAACCGTCTTTTCTTGCTTGTACTTGAACCTGATTGGGTGTTGTCATTTAAGTTCAGTTCTTGTTGATCTTGTTGTGATTGCCATTCTTCATGAATTAGCGTGTCTATATTACGTATTTCTAATATTTTGAATAGCTGCTGCAAAATTTGATATGTTTATCTTAACCTTGAGAGCATCGAGCTGTCTACTCTGCAGTTGATCAAAAAGTATATCGCAATTTGACATTATTTTGCTGAAGAAAAATAACCAGAAACTAAAATCTGTCTTTCAAAATTTATCAACCCTTTAGTCTGATTAATAGTTTTTTTATCGAATTCTGTGTTCATAATTTCTTCGAGACATTTAATCAAATCCTCTTTATAAACATAAATAGTATTGACACACTTCGATGTAAAATTCCATCGTGTATGAGCATTTTAAAGCATACGACTCTGAAGAAAAGGTGTTTGGCAATTTAAAATCTCCCAGCGAAAAATTTATCTTTTATATTTTCAAATTAGAAAAAATATTTACATCTCTATTTGATAGTTTGTCAACTAAGCCTGGAATTTCCAACGAATACCTGTTTGAGATGAGCAAAATAGAATTGGGTCATCCTTGCCAACATTTTGCGAAAATGTACACCATTAAATTATTTATACGACTCAGAATTTTTTATATTCTTAAATATGCAAACAGAGATTTGAAATCCTCGAAAAAGTCAGACAAAACCGAAAGAAAAATTAAAATTTTGTCCCATTTATAAATAATATTGATTTTTTTCATCATATTTTTGACTGCTTTATAAAAAAAAAGTTATTTTTCTTTGTAGTTTTATTTCCTAACTATTCCAATGGTCCAACTAACGTTTTTTCGTAATCACAATAAATAAATTATTATCATGGTCCAACAAACGCGCACCTTAAGCCGAAACCGGCATCGCCTTTGTGAGGGAGCCGGTAACGATGCCGCTGCGTACATTCGTATCAGGATAGCTCACCGACCTTGATATTAAACTGGATGGCTATATGACATAAACCCTACTCCTATTTTCTCAGCCGACATGGGTGAAAAAAACGGTCGGTGCGCATGACAATTTGTGCGCCAGACTGTCAATTTTAAGCATTCTACGTCACATTTTTCACGGGCGTACTATGATAAATTATATTATTTTTTATTAATAACGCCCTATTTTAATAATAATTATTATTGGAACATTTGTTTCAGCTGCGTATTAATCAAAAATCATTTTTAAGTTTTCTTAAATTAAAAGTTGTTTAGTTGAATGTAATAAGTGTTAAATTTAATTTTGATGATCCTTTTTAGTACATTTCGATACGCACATGTTGGCGCCGAAGAGTCAAATATCACCTCGCTATGCGGCTTGATTTTGTTGATCGGCTTTGGTCTTCCAGTTTAATATATAGTTCAGTGGGATAGCTATTCACTAAGTCATGGCAGCGCTCCCATGGGAGTGCTCCCATATATTTTGCTCTCTTACTCTTAGGTGGGTATATCGTGCTTACTCACTTTTAGCCCAGGTATATGCGTAGTAAGGTCAGATTTTATACGATGGGAGGGAGAATTGAGGGCTTGCCAGATTTTGGTCCGTATTTATAAACAGAACTTACCTGAGTCGGACTTGGGTAAGTCGTCCTTGAACTAAAATCGAAGTTAGGTTACAACGTTTCTAAAGTTCTAGGTGGTTCTGGTGTTAGACTGGAATTTAGAGATGAATATTAGCAAATTTGTAACTGTTATGTACATTTACGGATTTGTTACTACACATCTCTAAATTGACGCGATATAACCGAACTTCGATTTTCGTTCAAGGACGACTTACCCAAGTCCGACTCAGCTGAGTTTTGTTTATAAATACGGACCTTACGTCCGTATTTATCACAAAGCAAATTTGAACTACTTAAATAGTAGATCAAAGTTATTCTGTCGACTTGGCAACGTTGGCATGGGAGTATGGGAGTGCTCCAATGAACTGGAGTGGGGTAGAAAGCCAATGTATCAATTGTATCAATAGAACAAAATGCGACTCTATGGGCGCAGCCATTTTTATTTCTCATCTCACTCGGGAGTATTTATAATAACCATTTTCTGTTTCACATTGTTATTGTTCAGTCCACATGCTGGTGGATCAGACAATAACAAAGTGAAATAGAAAATGGTTGTTATAAATACTCCCGAGTGAGATGAAAAATAACCTGTCTTTGCCCATAGAGTCGCATGTCAAGCCTATTGACAAGCATTCTACCCCACTCCAGTTCATTGGAGTGCTCCCATGAGTTAGAGAATAGGTATCCTGGTCTAGGTAATCTGTGCTATGGGTACAGCACGTCACGATAAGGACAGCGCCCCGCTTGTGACGTATAATCCATCGCATGTGTTCATCTCTTGCTAAGCGATATTGTCGTTGTCCTTGTTTTTCGCATCATATTGAGAGAGAAAACCACAGAGGCACACATTTACTGTGCCCATCTTCCACTTAATTTCGGAATTCTCGGAACGTCGCTCAACGCCCGGTCGTCCAGTGACGTGCCAACGCGGTTTGCGCTGAATATTAGATAAAATAATAATAGGCATTGAGGAAAATATAAAATATGTAAGTTAGTTTTTCTTTTGATTTATTATACTAGGGCACGTGCCCAAGTGCCGTTACGGGCAAACCGCCACTGCTCCTATAGACTCCTAAAGGTGGGTAGTCAATACAATGAAGAACTACGATGGGACAAGACGGGGAGGATGAGTGAGATTAATAACCACCACATCCTCGGCGCGATCTCAGACTCGCCAGTTCCCCGATATCACATAGAAAAGTCATACAGTGTCTTCATTCCAGAGATAGAGAGAGACACGTATGGAGCAGGGGGGATAAAACACGGACGGCTCCATAACTGAAAAAGGAGTAGCAGAGGGAGTTTACGACCAGAAGCCAAGAATAAACATATGAATAAACCTTGGTTCCCAGGAAAACAACTAATCCTTTGGCTAATGCCGCAACACATAATAGTATAATTTTAAACAATGTTCCTCTTCTTTCAATTAGTTTTATTTCGATAAATATTTTTTCGATCATTTGTAATTTCGTAGTTGTATTTTAATCAAAAATTACATTCGATAATTAGTTTTTTTTTATATTTTGCACTTTCAATAATATTGTTTTCGATAATATTTTTTGATCCGCCACTCTCAAATAATGGTATACAGTGTGTTCCATAAAGTTGGATCCATATGGGAAATTTTTGGTGTTATTTATTTTTTAAACTTAAAATGGCCCATACTAAAGTTGGCTAGATGTACTGCATTAGTTACCTATCAAATTCGATATTCTTTTGAAAAATCATTCAATTTTTTTTTAATGCGAATTTGAAAACCAATGTCCGTAGCCAACAGAGGTGATTGTCCTACGTTTTTTCCACTTGTAATTCCAAAAAAAACCCATGTGTGATTGCTGTTACTTTTGCTCCTTCAGAATTGGATTCATACGGTAAATATTTTGTTTTCAATTTATTATAGGAATTGTTTCTTTCGGATTTCGATGTGCGCAACCTGGTTTACTTGGCATGTACACGGACGTGTCTCAGTACATCGATTGGATACAGGAAAAGTCCGGATTGAAACCGGGACAACTCCAAACGGCTCCTATGAAACCATCAACAGGAATCGCTGGTTCTGTCAGTCGCAACGACAGTAACACAGGTGTTAATGCAGAACCAAGTAAGTTTACTTAAAAATAGTTTGGAATGATTGATAATTTTCTGGTTTTAACATTGAACTGGAATAATATGTGAACCACTTTTGGAGTACCTATCATGCCTGTTACCTATATACAGATAAATATTATTCCAGTTATATACTGTGAAGATTATTATTAAACTTGTTGGTTTACCTTTTTAACATTTTTGTTTATGGGAAAGTGTTCCACAATGAGACAAAAATCACATTCGATTTTTTAATTTATTTTTTTTTAATCAATTTTAAAACTGTAATTGGTCAAAGCACTTACTTGAATGTATACTCTACCTTCCCAGATAACAATTATACATTCTTAGTATATACATTTTAAGAGTGTGCATATGAGGAGAATATACTTTATTTGCATTTAGTACATTCTCAGAATATAATAAGTATATGTTACGTGACGTTGTTTATACGTGCTATGCAGATACTAAGAATGTACTTCAAATATGTGTACAGTTGTACAGTATGCAGTAAGTATCTACTTTCATTTAATAGTACGTTCTAAGTACATGCTAAATATTTAAATTTAGAATGTACTAGGCATATACTAGACACCCTAATACAGGATGTTTCATTAATATTGAACATCAAAGAATAAGTGTATATAATGGAGGGGGCGAACAAGAAGATGAGACCATCGAGCATATCCTTTACGATTGCCCAACGCTCTCATTTATTAGAAGATTTGTGTTAGGCGAGTATCGGCTAACACTGGCCGATATAAGAGAAGCACCTCTTGGCGACGTTGTCAACTACATTATATCTGTAGGCTGGTTCACGAGCTAGGAGGTGCCTATCATCTTAGGAGGATGCACAATGGGCCTAATGAGGCCTAAGTGCCGTGGGGGTAACCCATCCTCCACACGTTACAGAGAGAGATAATGAAAATCGTTTTAAATCTTTATTTCTAATAATTCACTTATTTTTATTACAAATTCTTTCTTTGACCTTAACCAACCAACATTTTATTGTATCTAAATCTTAAGTTTTATTTACTTGCTTACATTGGATCTTCATTGAACCTAAAAAATAAAAAATTAATAAACTTGATAAATGGAATACTTTAAATATTTTTATCGAACGTAAAACATTAAAAATTGTACATCTAATTTTCTAGTTCTTCCAGGTCAATTTATGGCCTTACAGTATTCTTTTCATACAAAGGGTGTATGTAATTCTGGTAACACTGTATGTGGAACACTTTCTCCTACATTTGAAACATATATTATGGATCTTTCACTTAAATTTGAATTAACAATTCGTCACAATTATTGATTCTAAATTTGTATCTTTTTTCAGATCACAATCATCATCACCATCACCACAAAATAGTGGTAAGACCCTACAGGAGACCAATCAAAATTTTAATCTATAGAAACAACAAATGGTCGGTGCTGACGAAATATCTATTGCATCATCCTATTATTAGGCATAAAAGACCAATAAATTAAAGTAATAACCAATTTTTATTGTAATATTTAACTAAATGGATATTAAAAACATTTTATCTACAACCACCACAGCAAATCTATCTTTTTGTACATCAGATACTTAATGACATCCCAAAACTGTTACGTAATATATGTTAAGATCAATATGTTCAATTTTAATATTAGGACAATGCCAAAACGCGAACTTACGAAATATATAGGGTGTCCCATTAAAAATAGGACATAGAACAACTGAAGATTCTCTGATTAAAAATAAGACGATTAAATGAAACATGCTTAGGTAAAATGTTACTTGTTTCTGAAATATAGGGTGTTAAAGATGAAAATTCAGAAAATAATAATAGTTATAATTTTTCAATGTAATTTTACTAAATTCGGCATGAGCCAGAACACCCTTTATCCCTTATAAATTTTACGCCACGGTCCAAAAACTTATTTGAACTATAATTAAACTTTTTTGATGTTTTTTAAATAAATGATGTAGACTTGTTGGGTATTTATAAAAAAATTCAAATATTTATTCTCCTTTGAATGTGAATATCTCGAAAACCAACCACTTTATAAGTTCATAAGTATATGATTTATTTAAAAACATCAGAAAACTTTAGTCCAAATAAGTTTTTGGACAGTATGGCGTTAAATTTAGAAGGGATAAAGATATTACCTACCCATACCATACGCCACTGGCAAAGTTTATTTAACTTATTTTTTGCTGGTACCAAAAATTTGTCAATTTAGTAAAATTTCCATTAATAATTTTTGAATTTTCAATTTTAATAACACCCTGTTCTTCGGAAACAATTAATATTTTACATGCACTTGTTTCGTTTAATCGGCTTCTTTTTATGCATGGACTCTTCTGTTGTTCTGTGTCCCATTATTAATGGGACACCCTGTATGTGACTTCCTATCGAAGTACGCTTAAAATGATGAACGAGCCCAAGAGAAAAAACGTTATTCAACTTCTTTCTCTACTGGCCGCATAGTGTTTCCATAAACATAGGTGCTTTTGATAAGAAGACCTTCCCTAAGATAATACACTTACTAACCAATAGGAATGTTCCACGGATGGTTAGTAGGTGGATACATAACATGCTCTTAAATCGAGTAGTAAACATAAGTGTAGAAGATGTGAACATAAGATGCTTGGTTGCGAGGAGATGTCCACAGGGAGGGGTGCTTTTACCTCATCTTCTGTGGAATATGGTCCCCGACACCCTCATTAGCCGCTTCAATAATAAGTCTCTACACAATAGTGTATGCAGATGACCTGATCATTCTGCAAACAGAGAATTTTGAGAACATACTCTTATGCTGCTTTTTGATATCTCACTTTATTTCAACTCAACTTTTACAATAATTCAACTATACAACTATACAAAAAGTTATTCTTCATAAAAAGTTTTACATCTAAAATCAAAAATATAAATAGGTATATAAAATTTTATCAGTCGTATACGAGGTTTGTCAAAAATAAAGGTGCTTCTTGAGCAAAATTTATATTTTTTGACGCAAGTCGTATACGGCTCAAATATTTTAATATCTGATGGTTGTATTTTAGGTTTGCAGAAATTTTAATGAAGAATAATTTTTTCCCATAAAACTAACAATAATTATACCGACTTAATCTACAAGTGTTTTTTAATAGTTGTATAGAAGTGTGCTGATAGGAACTGGTATATTTAGAAACTATAGAGTCACAGTTATGATACATAAAAATTTTAGACTGGGGACTGGGGGCAGATGAGGGCATAGAACTTTTAGACACAAATGCAAATAATCACAAAAAATTTGAAAGTTCTAGAAGAAGCTATAGATTGAAAACAGTAACAAAAAGGATAAAAGTTATTAAAATAAAAAAATCAGAGCAAAACCTGCAAGGCGAGATATTAGAATAAGGCAGGAGGTAGAGAACCCAACTTAAAATTCAAATTCAATTAAAATAAGTTTTCATTATATAATAAAAAATATATAATTGCTGAGCTAGCTACACTGGGTGATAAAAAATAAATTATACATATAAATAGTAATATTCATATCAAATGGCGCCCAACGTGGGTACAGTAGTTCAAATCAACGTTTTGTGGTCTCGCAAGAAAAGTAAAACATAAAATATTGCACTTATTCCTTTTTTATATAATAATAATACTCTTCCTAATTCACCTCCTTACGAGTAAATTTTAACCCCAAAAGCAGAGCTTGTGCGGGGAAAGGGACGGCTATTAATATTATTTGCCGTGGCGCTCCGGGGCGACTTAAAGATGATGGTGCCATTTGACTTACAGGTAAGGAAAACCTCACCCACCATCATCGAGACGGTAATGCATGGCGATTTTATAATCTGCATGTCATATCAACAGAAATTGAATTTCTATTAATACGGCACACATCAAATCCTATACCGACCCATGCAATTTAATTAAAAATCCACATGGTCTTGTCTGAGATTCGAAGCCCGTCTGTCTCTGACCACAAACTTGCCTATAAATGAATATAAGCGCGCGAGACTGCTACACCACCGACCCGATATAGTATTCTGATTATTCACCGTATTAACCACACTCGGAACTATCAGAATGTTGTTTGTTATTTTATATAATCGTTTCTCTTAAGTTCACACATAACTTTTGTCCAGTTAGTTTGCTCTGTTCGAAACTCTGTGCGTCGCACCGTATCACGCACTATGAGTAGCGAGCTTAAAAGACAGATTGTGATTCGATGCATACCACTTCCAAGTGAAAACCTGTTTCAAAAATAACAGATACTGCTACCTGCAACACAACCCTAAGGAATAGTGAGTAGCGGGCTCAATACTTAAAGAAAGTCTATACTAGACGTAAAAGACGACATTTACTTATATATAGTTTATATATTCACCTGAGGTATTTACATGTGTAAGTTGTCGTAGGTATAGTGCGTAATACTTGTAAAGCAATTACGCACTCATTCTTTCGAAATATGCTGTTTATACTTATTACGCAATATATTGTAATGCGAGTTATTTCATTATTAGCAATGGAGGTGTTATTAAATCTCACGCCACTGCACATCTTCATACAAGGAGAAACCAGGTCAGCTATTCACAGGCTAATGCAGGGACGAAACCCAATAAGCCAACTACATAGCGCCGACCACACAAGGCTATATCAGCAAGTAAAAAGGGATAATATTCTAGCTATGCCTACTGATACAGCCATAACCACATACAAATTTGAAAGAAACTCAAATTTAAATACCAGCCCGAGAATCCTGGAAACAGGGACCTCCCGTACAGGCTGAATTCGTCTGGTACACAGACGGCTCAAAAACCAAGGAAGAAGCCGGTGCTGGAATCTATGGACCCTTTCGCTGAGTTTAGGAAAATATGCAACAGTGTTCCAGGTTGAGTTAAAGCCATACAACACTGTGCAAGAGAAATATTAAATCAGCAAGTATCAGGCAAAACTAATTGCTAATTATACTCTCATAGCCAAGCAGCTCTAAAGGCAATTCTCTCACCAGAAATCAAATCACGACTGGTGAAAGACTGTCTAGAAGACCTGACAGAGCTAAGTAGTCAAAATAAGGTGACCTTAGCCTGGGTTCCAGGCCACGAGAGATATTAGGGCAACAAAAAGGCCGACGAATTAACCCGAGAAGGCTCAGATAAGGCCATAACAGGCCCCTAACCCTTCTGTGGGGTTGCTAAGGCATTGTGCAAGGCATCCATTAAACAATGGATGTAAAAAGAGTCTCAGGAATGGTGGAACAACTATCCAATACTGAGACAGGCCAAACAGTTCATCAAGGAACCATCGGCCAAGTTCACGAAAGACCTACTGGATCAAAAGCGTCAAATCGTTAGGATAACAGTAGGCCTTCTTACTGGACACTGTCGCCTCAAAAGGCACATGAGTGTCATAAATCCAGCAGAAGAAGCAACTTTGTGCAGGTTCTGTGAAGAAGAAGAAGAGGAAACATAATTGCACGTCCTGTGCCAATGTAAAGGCCTGGCTGGAATGAGGTTTCTAACATTGGGCGAAGAAAAGCCAATTGCATGCAACTACATGCGGGAGCCACTGTCAAAGCTACTGTCTAATAAAAAAAGACCAGGCTAGACGACATACTCTAAAACAAACGGAGTCCCACAATAGATCTGAAAAGGTCGCGGTGGACAAGGATAAATAATGTCCAACTCCTAATCTAATCTATTTCATTATTCAGTCCTGCTCTAATCCTCTGAGTCCCTCTCTGTCTTATTTGGCCTTTGTGGCTCAACTTGTCCAATTATCATACATAATTAAACCCCTTAAGACCAAACATATATGACACCTATGGCGGAGGCGCTTTTCGAGTATATTCCAGAGGCAACGTGATGTTTCTAGTATTCCTGAGAATTGGTGAAAATTCTAGTACCTTCGCCAAACTTTTAAATGTGTATATAAATATTGGTGGAGGAACAACGCGGAGTCAGTTGTAGATAGACAGTGGTGAATATAAATAGTGAACAGTTTAAAGTCATTCGAAAGATATATAAATTAGAATAGTATTGTTTAAAATAAATGTTTAAATAAATTATTGATAAATAAACTGTTGTTTAAAATAAACAAACATTACAATATGTTAAAGTATTAGTATGTGATAATGATACTTTTTTTTTGATAAATTTGATATTCTTTGGATCTCTTACCTAAAAAACTCCTGATATACCCTTGAAATCACTACTGCTATTTCAGCCTGGAATCACTCTCGGGGATTCACCTAAACTCAATAATAGAATAAAAAAAAACAAATTTAGTCGAAGTATAAAATTTTTATTAATTTAAGAAACTTTCTTACAAAAAATGTTATCCGAACAAAGCTGTAGGTACCAACGAAACCTAACTAAACTTATTATATCACAAATAAATAATAATAATAAACTAATGAGGCACATCTCCGACTTTAATTTGAATAATAAACAGAAATATACAATACATATAATCCAAACATTGAAATATAATAACGATAATTCACAATCTAATTCTTGGTCATTTTTTTTATAACATGATTTAAGATGTACCGTTTTGATCTCTTAAATTGCTTTCTACCACTTCTCGTTCTAACTAGTTTAAATAAATCAAGTTTTCATCACATTTTAAACGGAGCTGGGTAACTGGTATGAAATCATTTTCATCTGATGGAATTATATTAATTTAACCTTTGCAAATTAAAATTCTTCTAGCGCTTTCCGCTTTCAAGCCTTCATCAGGAAGAACAAAACAAGTTAAATAATACGCATTTTTAAAAACTGCAAGAAAACAATTTTCTATTTTTTTAATTGACCACTCTGTATTTTATATCATTATTCAAAGTGATTTTGCAAAAAGTATTATAAATGTTTTTCTAGTTTCTTAGTTTTCACTTTAGGATTAAAAATGGACCATTCATCTTCCAACATTTTTTTAGGCTTTATAATTTCTTTTTAAAAATGCAAAAAATTATTTCAATGTTGTTCTAGCTTCTCTAGTTTTTTAATACTTTAAAAAGTTTGTTTATTTCTTAATTATCCAGTGTGTGCACAACCATTACCCACTACTTCTAGTCATGAACAAACCATGGCTACATCGCAGCAAGTAAAAGCTTTCAGTCTACTCTATGAAGACTAGAGATAAGAAGGCGAATCGGCATACTCAAAATACGGTTCCAAACAACGCACGCTATTTGAGCTTTTTTAATTCACCGCAAGGGCGCTAGTACTGCTAACGTAGTTCAAAATACATGGATTCTTATGGGAATTTTACATAATTTTGTCAAATTAATAAAAATAAACTTGTTTATTGCCAAATAAAGTACAGAAAATACTGTTGTATTTATTTCTAAATAAGTCTTAACATATTTTAATTTATACATTATTTATTATTCATTTCTAAGTTAAATGCAAATTATTGTTGAAATTTGATGGGTAGGGCTAATTATTTTTTAATTAAAGCTAAATAGGACCGAAGACACGGTTTAAATGAAAATATTTAGTTAGGGATTTTACAAAATTTTATGAAAATAATAAAAATCAAATTGTTTATTGCTAACTAAAGCACAGTTACTGTTAATTTTAATTATTGTCCATTTAAGGAAAAAAATGTCTTTCAGTTGATTTTAGTTTAGTTTAAATGACTATAAAAAATGTTGTTGATTAATATAAATAACAGTAAATTGTTAAAAAGAAATCCAGTGTTGGACATAATGTCCATTTAGGGATAATTGGGTATGTCCACGATTGGTTCATTAATTTTTTCAGATTTCAACATATTGGATAAAAAGAAATTTAGGAAATATACCATTGAAAATATGGCAGAAGCATTAGCCGCAGCAAAGGCAGGCATTCCCATTGCAACCGCAAGTAAAAGATTCGGTGTTCCACGCATAACTTTGCGAAATAAAGTAAAAGGCATCAGTCCAGAAATTTGCAATATGGGACCTCCAACGATTTTATCAACTGAGGAGGAAGGCCGTATTGTAACGTGGATTGTTGATATTGCAAGGGCCGGCTTTCCCGTGACAAAACAGTGTTTAACTGATACCGTAACAAAACTTATAAAAGAGTTAGGCCGTAAGAATCCATTTTCTGACGGTATCCAGGGAAAAAATGGTTAAGTCATTTTTAATGAGGCATCCAAATATTTCCCTAAAAACACCTGAAAAGCTAACAGGCTACCGTGGAAAGCTTACTGAAGGCGATATACGTAACTGGTTTAAAGAAGTTTCCAGTTACTTAAAGGAAAATGATTACTATCATATTTTAGAAAATGGAGATCGCATTTTTAATGCTGATGAGACAGCAATTTCCTTATGCCCTAAAACTGGCAAAGTTTTGGTCCCAAAGGGAATTAAAAATATATACGATGTTTCAAAAACTTTAGAAAAAGAGAACCTCACAGTATTGATTACAGTTGCAGCATCCGGAAACATGGCGCCTCTTATGGTAGTTTATCCATACAAGAGAACGCCTTCAGAAATTGCCAAACATTTTCCCAAAGGTTGGGGCTTAGGAAAATCGGAATCAGGATGGATGACTGGCGAAGTCTTATAACATCGAACGCCCTGTAATTTTTTTTGTCGACGGACACAAGTCCCATTTGACTCTACACCTCAGTATGTTTTTGCGTGAAAAAGAAATTATTTTAGTAGCATTTTTTCCAAATGCTACCCATGTAATGCAGCCTCTCGATGTGGCGGTCTTTTATCCACTAAAAAGTAAATGGAAAATTCATGTAAGAAAATGGCTCACTGAAAATGAAAACCAGCAATTGATGAGACATCATGTTGCCAAACTACTGGAAACTATTTTAAAAGATGCCATGTCTCCGGATACGATTAAAAATGGGTTTCGAGTTTGTGGCCTTTATCCCTTTGATGCAAACAACGTAGATTACTCCAAAATATTACACAAACAACACACAAAAGAAGCAGACGATACCAATAAGCAAGATAACGTGATGAATGATGACATTCAAAACTGCTTAAAGGTTTTGGAAGCTAATATTTCAGCAAATGTACTTCAAATCATGAAAGAACACATTTTAGAAGACGAATGGAGTGGACCTGAGTCAACAAAAGACTTGTTTAATACCTGGAAAAGAATTCAAAAACTGAATAGTGCTAGCGTCTCAGAGAAAAATGGTAATATAATTGACATAAATACATCTTTAAAGTTCTCATTAGAAATCGACGATAACACCCACAAAGACACCCAAAATGAAGAACACGTTCCTCAAGAAGTTACTAAACCCTCTGAAGAAGTTTCACAGGAAATCTGGCAAGAAGTAATTGAGGATTTACATGTTATAGCTGAGTCGGATAAAAACCACATAACCCCAGAAGAATATCAAGTTCATGCTGCCATAACATTTGAAAAGAAAAACCAACAAACTCCCGATAATGCAAAGCCTTCAAAAACAATTAATCCTTCTATAAGTAATGCTTATTTTCAACCACATTGCCAAGAAATTGTCGTTAACGGAACACAGTACACTGGTAAATCTCCATTTAAAAACTATCTTTTTTGGCCCGAGGATGCACAAATGCCTCAGAAAAAAAATTAGGGAAAAACCACGTTCAGTTATAACATCTGTTTTTTGGTTACATGAACAACAAAAGAAAGAAGCACTTAAATTAGAAAAAGAACAAGAAAAAGAAAGCCGGAAAAGAGCAAGAGAAGAAAAACAAAAAGAAAAAAATTACAAGTCAAAAAACCAAAAGGCGTAAAAAAGAAAACTCAAACAAAAGGTAAATATTTTAGACTCCTAACGTTAAACTGGAAATGTTATAAGTGCCAAACAGCATGGAAGGACCAGCATGTATTAGAGAGAAAAGCTAAATGGCTTTCATTTATTAGCTGCCCAAATAAGGTTCATACAATTTGTGTTCCTCTTAAGTATATGAATAGCCTTGGAAATACTTACGCAGATTCTGAAGAGGACGAACAGTTTGTATGCGAAAAATGAGGTATCAATATTGATACTAGTGATGAACATGAAAGCATCAGTGAGGACGAAGAAGAATATTAATTATAAGTCATTTATCTCATTTTATTTATTTACCAAGATATTATTTTCTTGTTTTAAATTTAAATCGATAATTATATTATTTTGTATACGTTCATGTGTTTATTCTTTATTTTATTCTTTTATAGATTCCTAATTATTTTTTGAATCATAAATATCAATTTATCATGTTTTAAACAGAATAGTAATAAAATAAAAAAAATGTCCATTAATGGTTCTACAAGTGTCCAAATTAGGATTTATGAAAAAACGACTGTCCATTTCTGGAGAAAATGCATATGTAAAAATTAAATTAATTATTACATACTTAACGTGATTTAAGAAAAACTACTGCTATAGTATAGGCAAAAATAATATATAAGCTTAATTTTGGTATGTATATGATTAAAACAAAACTTTTACTGTGGTAGTTTCAGGCAATTATGTTTAAATTATCTCTAAAAGTGTCCATAACTTTATCTGGTAGGAAAATTTTAGTTTTTCGAAATAGAATCTAAAAGAGACAGGTAGTACTTTGGTGCATATTTTATTGTTCTTATGTAAAATAAATTTTAAATAACCTACCTTAAAAGACATATACTGGTGTATCACAATTTTTTTAGTTGGAGTGTATGTTTTATCCCATTCAACAAAAATTACATAATTTTTTCCAGGAATATATGTACCTGACCACTGTTCATTTGGTGTGCAAATTAGACTCAAATTATCTTTCAAACGTTCAAAAATTTGATCTCCTACATCAACAACTGCAATTTCATCATCCTGATGAATAATTTCTTCAGCAATAAGTTCTAGTATTTTCTTCCTTTTTTTTTATTCTAACAAATTCAGTTCGGTTAAATGGTAGTTTTCGTCTTTTCTTATTACATTAGTTAAAATAGTCTCATCAAATTTTGAAATATCATCTCCTAAAAAGTTTAGCTCACAAACAGAATCATAACTAGACAGTACTTTATCAGCCCTAGGAATCGCATGCTGCCATTGTTCTAACCTTTTAGGATCCTATAAAAAATATTTGCAATGACTAAATTGGGTTTCAACAAAGAAAAATAACAATAGTAACTCTTCATCTAACATCAAAAAACATAAAAAAAGCAAATTTTCTTTTCTTGTAATTAAATTTAATGTGTAATTATTGTCGTTTGTAAGTCAGGATTTATGATTGTATTTTCTTTATTATAGAATTTTGTAATTAAACAAACTACACTCCGTATAAGGTACGGATTGTGACTATTTTATAATAAATATATATTATTTAGAAATAAATACAGTACAAGCGCGGTATTATGAACACACGCCGTTATGAACAGCTCAGTAATATGAACATAATATTTTTTATTAAGGCTACTCTGTAATATGAACAATTAAAATCTCGGTTATATGAACGCAACAAATAAACTCGTTTGAGCCTGTCTGGATTGCATATTACGTAGTAGATATTTCATTTCAGTCATTCCACAGTTTTCCACCGACAGTAGCAGGTTAAAGCACGGTTTAAAGTGAACTTTAGTTGAGAAACATTGAACTTGAAATGGTTAAAGTGAAGGGAAAATCGAATTGTTTGTCTCTTTCGAAAAAAACACAAATTTTAGAAGACGCTAATAAAGGTTTGAACGTTACCGTACTGGCGAAGAAATATGGCATTGCTAGGTCCACAGTTTGTCTTATTAAAAACAAAAGAGATTAAATTCTTGAAAGGGTTAGCAATACCTTAAAACCAACCCAAAAATGCACATTAAAAAAGGCTGAATTGCCGGAATTGGAGATGCGAGTTTATAGATGGTTTCTTGCTCAACGTGAGAGGAATATGCCAGTTTCAAGTGCCTTGATCAGGCAAAAAGCCTTAAGTTTGAGTGTAAGTTTAAATGTTGGTGGTTTTAAAGCAAGTGATGGTTGGCTGCAGCGTTTCAAACAACGTCAAGGAGTAAGATTATTGAAGATAAATGGAGAAAAAAAAATGCATGGATGACAGGCGAATTGTTCAAAAACTGATTTTTCCAGCAGTTTGTTCCTGACGTAAGATTGAACTACCATTCACATAGGTGCACAATCTGACTAGCTGTTGATTTCAGGTTAAGAGTTTTTGAAAATTCAAAAACTTACAGAAAAAGCGATGTTACTTCTGGACAACGCACCGTCTCATCCACAGGCTGAAGAATTGATAACTAATGATGGAAATATTTTTGTGATGTTAATGCCGCCAAATGTATCGCCTCTGATCCAACCCATGGACCAAAATGTACTCAGACTCACCAAACTTTATTATAGAAACAGTTTACTTAGTTGCATTGTGGCTGGGGACGATCCAGTCGGAATCGCCCTTAAGAAAATTACATTAAGGGACGCAATTATACATTTAGCAGCTGCATGGGATAAATTAAGTCCTGATGTTATCTCTAAATGTTGGCATAATATTATGGTAAACGTCAGTGCAGAAACTGATCAAGGACAACTGGATGAAGACGACTTACCACTCTCTGTTTTACAACAAAGACTAAATCAAAATAGGGTTGTTGACATTGCTCTTGAGGACACAATCGCCCTGCTTCAAGCAATAGAGCCTGTAAGGTTTAAATTCAAATGCCTAGATTAACTTATGTACAGTGTTTTTCCGAATGTATGTAAATGTTGTTTATTTTTAAAATTACAGGTCGAATACACTCCTCAAGACGTAGAGGAATGGAACAAAGATACAGTTTCAATTGAAGACAGTGATCAAGTAGATGAGTGTAACGATGACAACGAATCCGAAGGAAGTGATTGTGAGATCCTCCCAGACAAGAGTAGCACATTGTGAAGCAGTTAAGGCTCTAGATGTTGCAATAAAATGGGCTCAACAGAACGGATTTTTTTGTGTTCATGTTACCGAGCATGTACTGTACATTATTTTACTTACACGAGGAGCTTTAAAAAGACTTGGATTTCTATCTCCTTGTGATTTCTTTAATTTTATATCGGATTTATATCCCGTTTTGCAACCCGGAACGAAGCAAATCCTGCTTTGTCGTTTTTTGTTACTCAATGTTACTTGTAGTCAGGTTCTTTATTTCAGCTTATTTTTATTATTTTCACTAAATTTTTCAGTAGTTTTTTGGAACTCTATAAAAATAGGGAAGGAAATTTGAAATTTGATCAAGGCCGATTCTCCTCCTTATCTCTAGTCTTCATAGTCTACTCGCTACGAAGTGAGGTGAACTAGGCATACTTCTATGTTGTTTATTTAAATGTATTGTTTCCTGTTTTTATTTTCAACAGAATCATTTAAAAGTACATTAGAAAAACCAGAGCACCACACCTTAAGAATATTTTCACTCTTTTTTCATATAAATAAGTTTATTTGATCGACTAAAATCGGTATAACTTCAGATAAAACTGAGCTACATTCTGTATTATTCGTATTATTTTCCATACTTTATTTATCTAAAGCTTTTTTGAAATATTACAACCCCTTTATCATTAACCCGGTTACAGGAGGTTCCGGTTATTCACAACCGGGGTTTTTGTACCGAAAAGGGACTTGATCATCGCGTTGCCAGATTTATCTTTGCTAGGCTAGAAGTAATCGTTAATGGCACAACTATTACCTGCTTGAAGAATAAATAATTGCATAAAGGCGGGATGAATGCTCCCAGCCATAACTTTTTTGTTCACATGGCTGCTGTTTATTAATTACAATATCCTATTGAATATTCACAATCAAAATTTAAATATATCATTTTGGCACTTCTACCCAGCTCCGGTTCATAACATATCTGAGATTAAATAAATTATTGGTACAAATGAAGGATATTACATTTTCAGTAAATAAAAAATGATTCCTGTACTAATTTACCTCATTCCGGTCTTTATACCGCAAATAAAAAAAGAAAAGTACCCACAAGGAAGAATTAACCAAAAACCTTAAATACGGCGAATTTTTATAAGTTTAAAGCTCAATTTGTTGATGTTTATTACAATACAAGGTATGAACTAATTATTTTTGATAATATTCTTGAGGAAATTTTTATATCCACAGAAGAATGGATTCGTATTGAACATACCTCGTATTTTTTATTTTACAAGCACATTAAAAAAATCCGAATTATTATTAACATACCTTATTATTTCGAATTATATAGTGTGAGATACCGAAAACAAAACGAAAGTAGTCCGATTTTTAATAAGACAGTCATAAGTCAGCTGTCATACATCATTCTCTTCCTCTGCGACACTCAAATGAAGCGTCATATTTTTTAATACGTAATTTGTATCCCGCTAGAGGGCGCTAAAATCAAAAGTAATGCAATGAACATAAATTTACTATTTAAATTGTATTTGTTAATAGTAACGGAGAAGAGTATGACAGTTGAAGATATGAAAAAAAAAAAAGATTGGAAATTCGGATTTTTCAAAATGTGCCGATTTTTACAAAATATGTACATACAAAATATTTCAAAAATGTACTGATGTATTTACACATTTTTACATTTTGATGTTCTATGTTCAGAGGTAAACATGCCTGGTACAAATTATCTTTCTTTCAAATAAATATATCTTTACAGAACATTCTGTATGAATCGTTTGGATATTTAAACAACAGCCGTTACTTCTATGGACTTCTGTACTTTTCAAGTCTCTTATGAGGCAGTGCCTTACCAAAATATTTGACAAATAATTTTGATCTGTAAAAACTTAAAACAGCCCATATCAAAGTTGGCTACTGACATTAGTTTTCTATCAAACGATTTTAACAAAAAAATACCGAATTTGACAGATAACTAATGCAGTACCTAGTCAACTATATTATGGGCTATTTTAAGTTGTTAAAAAAGTAGAAGTGAATGCCTTACGAGGTTTTTTCCAATCATAATGTAAAAAAAATCATATGGATCTAACTTTATGGAACACACTGTATATAATTGCAGTTGGTCGTGACAAAAAATTAATTTCCGAGAAAGCGCGATCGAGACTCGCCAACTGAAACAAAAGTACGCCCGAGGCTTGTGATCCTTTTTTTTATTCTCTTTCTATCGCAGAATAGCACATAAATTCATCGCAGTCTATCGCTCGACTTAAATTTGGTAAAAAATGAATTCTTAAGACATTTTACATAAATGGAAGAAAATACTTTATTTTTAAGAAAGAACCCACGTAGGTTCTTGCTGTATAGTTTAATAACTAACAAAATAAAAAGCATTTCATAGTTTGCCTCATCTTATGAGGCCATGAGCCGGCACTGCTCTTTGTGCATTTCATACAATTCACTGAATTTCATTTGAAAATTAACTTTTACTACTGCGATCTGTGACGTCCTTATAAACAAAAATTCGATTCCGTATCTCGCCTCCAAAATCTATCGCTTTCTCCATCGGAATCCAAAAGATTCTGTTGGGAGCTCATGCCAGCATTCAGACGCTTTATAATTCCAAATCTTCAATACATCTACCGCACTACCATCACTTCCAGAAGCGTTTTCCACGTCATCAAATTGGGTTTGTAGAGTCTTGAGATATTCAAGAACCTTCAAACTGAGATAGGAGAGGGAGACAGGAAACCGAACAGTACGTGCTTTGCTTGATTACCACATATTTAAATCTTCGTGAATGGATGTATTTTTACGAGTCTACCACAGTTTTGCTTTACGACGCCTGGTCTTGTCGATTTTACGATGTTGCTTTTGCCGAGCAATTGTAAGATCATTTGATAGTAAATACGAAACAAGGCTTGATCGACAGAATTATTCCGGCGATTGATGAGTTCACCGGATGTAACATATCGAAATAACGAGGTTATGTTTTCTAATTACCACATAATTTATTTTCGCAGGATTATTTAATAAATACGATATCACTAAATCGGTTATAGTGACCGCCAAATTTAAAGAGACGTTTTTTTAGTCCGTCGACCTGATGTAAATTTTACGTTGAATGGTAAGTAGCAGAGGTGAACGTACTGCGGACTAAGACAAGAGGTAGTTATGCTTCACACACTTTAAGGTTATGTATGCCGTATCTGTCAATTTTTATACGACTTTTTATCGCACATTAATGGAAATCAGTTTAATAATGAAAGTAGTTAAAATTTTATCTAAAATACAGCGCCTGCGCACTTTATAAGTTTGCCATCCATTTATTTCAAAATTGTAACGTGCTAAATCGTATTATTCGAAAGAAAGGAGAATAATTTGCGCAAGGCACGTTGCCTCTAAATACATAAAAACAACCGCGAATGATATGAAAAATGACGAAAATATTGTTTTTATATATATAAATATAATTTTCATGAATTAATAAATAACGTTATTCGAGTTTTTGGTGACGTTCGATGAAATAGCTTCTTCCAAATTGCTATCTAATTTGTGATAATTGGCGGAATTGGGTCTTCTGCCTCTGTAAGGCCTTCTGCTTCTTTTGCCTTCGAGTAGGAGCGCCATAACCTAGAGAAAAATCGATGAAAATGTCTCGAATGCAACGTTTTTTTTTTTTAACCGACTTCAAAAAAGGAGGAGATTCCCAATTCGTCGTAATATTTTTATGTATGTTTAGCGATTATTCTTTAACACGGTGTCCGGTTTCAATGATTATTTTTTGTTGAAAGGGGTTACTTCAGGAGTAGTCCCATATAAATTTGGTCAAAATCAAATAATTTGGTCCATGAGAAAATCCTCACTCTTTATTTTTTATGAATGTTTAGTGATAATTCTTTTGTTAGTAATGGGGTACCTCAGGGGTGGTCTCCTATAAATTTGGTAAAGATGTGGTGATGGCATCTGCACGATTTTAAAGTCGGTTTTTACAAGTAATAAAAGTAATTTTTAAAAACCGACTTAAATTGTGCAGATGCCGTCACCACATCTTAACCAAATTTATGTAGGACCACCTCTGAGGTACCCCCTTACTAACAAAAAATGAATCATAGAAATCGGACAAGGTGATAAAGAATTGCCGCTAAACATACATTAAAAAAGAAGAGTTTGAGGATTTTCTCATGGACCCAATTACACTGTGCATCAGAGAAAACGGGCCACCTAAAAAATTTACGAAATAATTCATCTTTTTAAATATTTCTTATTTTTATAACAATACATCTATTGTGTATTAGGTCAGTAATTGTTTTACTATGTTATCCGATGTTACCATAAGTCACAAATCAAGAAAGCAAAAAAATTGAGAAATCACAAATTTATTGAAAAATTACAGTTACAGTTTACTTTGCAATAATTGATTTAAAGAGACGAGGATCACTTTTCAATACGGCGTATTGCCACCCCGATTCTGGATGACACTCCTCATTCGATTTGGAACAGAAATCAGCAAGGTCTGAATGCAAGGGCCAAGCAAAGCTCTCCGCGTGTTGTTGGAACAGGTATGCGACGTCTTACACGCCTTTTGAGCTGGTCCCAAACATGCTCAATATAATTAAGATCCGGGCTTAGAGGAGGCCAATCCATTTTGGAAATCCCAACCTCTTTAAGGTACTGTGTTACCATCCTTGCCGTGTGTGGACATACGTTATCCTGCATTACCAGAAAACCATTGCCAACAAACTCAGCATATGGCATTACATGCTCTTCTAGAATCTCTGTTATGTATCGTTGTGATGTTAATGCGCCTCTGTCAATAATAACGAGATCCATGTGTGCCTCAAAAGAAATTCCTGTCCAAAACATTACTGAGCCACCCCCAGAAGCAACTCGAGGTGACCGAGAACAGGCAGCATAACTTTCTCCAGCTCTTCTGTAAACCTTATTTCGGCCATCTTTTCCATATATGCACATTCTACACTTATCCGTGAACAGTACATTTTTCCAATCACCCATTGTTCAATTCATATGTTCGCGAGCAAAAGCAAGTTTGCGTCTTCTGTGTGCTGCAGTAAGCAAGGGTCCTGTAGCTGGACTGCAAGTTGTCAAACTACTTTCTATTAACCTTCGCTGAACAGTAGAAGTGCTGACGGCTGTTCCATGAGCTTGCTAAAGACTGCTTTGGGGCATTCTAGCAGTTTGCGTTCGGTCTCGTAAAGCAGTAATGCTGACAAAACGATCCTCCCTGGCTGTTGTTTTTTTTATTAGCACTCGTACCGGGTCCCGGTGTCAAGAGCCGATCGCAAGAAACCGTTGGTGTGTTCTTTGCACAGTCGAACGACTGGCGTTTAATTGTCTCGCAACATCCCGTTGACTTGTTCCTTTTTCCAGTAATGTTACAATCTGAATAGCTCTTCGATATTTTTCATCTATTATTAAGGATTACACTTTACGAAGATCAGTGTAGTACAAAAATACCTTTAATATTCTTTAGAACACAATACAAGTTCATAAAGTATTATAAGTTTTTTTTTACTCGATTCCGAAAATTTGTTTATGATCTTTATAGGGTTGGCATGACTTCGCAAGTACGCAAATTAACCCGTTTTACGTAATTAAAAAATAAGAAACTTAATAAGATAGATAATATCGTACATTTTTTGGGTGGCCCGTTTTCTATGACGCGCAGTGTATTAGATTTGGACCGAATTAATATGGGACTACCCCTGAAGTATCCCCTTTCAAAAAAAAAGGATCATTGAAATCGTACAACGTTATAAAGAATTATCGCTGAATATACACAAAAAAATATATTCCGACGAATTGAGAACCTCCTCCGTTTTTGAAGTCTGTTAAAAATATTTTAAAAATGTCAAAATTTTAAGAAAAAGTCAAAATTGTTATTTCAAAAAATTACGGGGTGTTATTAAAATACATGACTATATTAAAATAGATTAATATTTATAATGTTTTTACTTAATATAAGTTGTTTGTGTCTATTTAGGTTGCCTAATTCTAAAGTATATTACGGAATATGTTTGCAGACAAAAAATACACACCTTATCAAAATAAACAAGGATCACTTTAAGATTATGACTATTTTTAGCTCGAGCTATTTATTTAAGTTCAAAAACTAAGTAAAATAAAAACAATTTTGGATGCCACAAAACTTGTAAAAATATTAGTAATGAAAATAGACAATATACACTGAATAAGCATCACAAATGATGGACAAATTCAGATTAGAATAGCACTTTTATATATATCTAAAATATTTTTGCAGTATATGCATCATATTATGATAGCGTTTTAATTATGGATATTATTATGATTCTTTGTATATTGTTCACTGAATATAATTTAAATGTCTTGTTTTTTTATCAATCTGATTGCTTTTATTTCAACAAGTTCATGGTTTAGGAATTTAAAAAACTTGTAATAATTTATTAGTTTTAACTGAAAAAAAAAAAAAACATGAAACTGTTTCTACTATAACATAATAAAAACCTATGTTAATGAATAATAAAAATACGAGTATTTAGTAGCCAAAGTGCTTTCTTTTTGTACTTCCTTTAAAATCGCTGTAATTCCATTATCTTAAAAAAAGAAAATAATTTATTGAAAATGTCGATTAATCGAAAATAATCGATTAATTATAAGGGATAAATCGTTTTTCATAAAAAAAATAACAGAATAATCGATAAACGATTATTATTGTAACTACCGGTCGCTTGCTTTTATCCAAGCATTTAGCTCCAAAATTTAGAGATTCGAATTTTTTGATCCCGTCATCTTTGAAAGCGCATTCGATTGTATAATAAATATTGCTAGAATTTAGATTTTTTTTTTTAGTAAACGAAGATTTTTTTCGAGTTGTTTAGGGGTTTATAATGCAACATTTTATTAACAATGTGACTAACTCCCGTAACTTTAGTATTTTTTTTGCTTATACTAGATCATATTGTGCGTTTTACTTTGTTTTAAGACCACAAATAAGATGAACCATGAAATTTTAAGTAGGTCATCCTGTATTTCATCTAATATTCTAATAAAAATACCTTATACCAACTATGCTTTTTTACTTCTTATTTATCTACCAAAAAGGGCTAAAAACCACCTTTAGTAAATATTCTTACAAAACTACTTTTTAATAACAACATTTCGTTAGCAACAATGCCTATTTTCTTCTTATTTAAATTAAATGCTCAAAATTTTGCCCTTTTTGTAAATTTATGTAAGTATTATGAAATCTGTTTTCTGAAATATGTATTTGATGCTTAATATTTATTGAAACCCCTTAATGTGGATCTGAAGTGTTCAGCCCAAAGAATCATGGCGACTTTATGTCAAAAAGTTAATAAATATTTACCGCTGAAAACGAATATATTTTTTATTTTTCATAACATTGGCACTTATATTATTTGTATAAACAATTGTTCACGATACATCGTGGCATTTTCAATTTAAAATTGAATAACTAAAACACTTTAAATTGCTAATAACACCAACAAATAATTCAAAAAACGGCGGTCCATGATGATTCAAGTCACATGGAGATGAGCGTAGAATAGAAATGTCGGAGCAATTCGGGTGGCGTCGTGGACACAATGATTTTTAATTGGTACTTAAGGTTGAAATAGACAACATGCGCTATGTGCAATGTTACATCTCCGGTTTCTTTAATCTAAGGTATGGAATTACACTATTAAATGAAGTTAAATATTGTCGGTAATTTATTTTACATCGACGAAAGAAACCCACCACTTTCAACAGTCCACTACAGTCGAGGAATTATGTTTAACACGTTGACTGCCACGGCAATTTTGAGACATATGGCCTAAAATGATAATTTGATTTAAACACATTATTTTATTTCTTGAATTTGAACTGATTTTTATTATATTTTTTGATCGTTTTTTAATAAATTTTCTGCTCATGCAAGCCTTTTTGTTCTTTTCCCAGAAGCCATCTATCGATATTTTTCAAGTTTAATCGTAGCTGCACAAAAATGGCAAGTAAACACAGAACGAGATAACTCGTAGACAAGAATGCAATCTACGAGTTATCTCGTAGTTGGCAGTCAACGTGTTAAAAAAAAATGTACGGGGAAAGCAACTGTCCCCGACACTTGTCATTATGAATATTTACGTGAATTTTAATAACACCCTGCATATCCGTAATTAAAGAGTTAAATTTTCAAATCGTAATTCAATCTATAAAAAGTCTTACCTTAATTCTGTTGTGATACCCGACATATCCCAAAACAACTAAGACGCATACGACCATAAAATATGACAGAAAGTATGATTCTCCATCAATTTCGTCGATATTATCAGTACTGATGGGATTCCCTTGAAGCGTATCCGGTTTCTTCTCGGAAATCTTTTCTTTCGCTGAAATAAATTTTAACACGTTAGGCGCAGCGGCGGTCGCGAACGACCGGTGCTGAAATAACAGCGGTCAATTGTGACCACTATCGAACTATCGCGAGTGACCGCCGTTAAACTAGCTAGTCACAAGTAACCACCGCTAAAGTTGCGGCATCGGGTTTTTCTCGGAAATACTTTGTTTCGCTGAAATAAATTTCAACACGTTAAGCGCCGCGCAGTCACTAATGACCGCTGTTAAACTAGCTACAGTCATAACCGCCGATTTTTTCTCGGAAATATTATGTTTCGCTAAAATACAATGTAACATGTTGGACTCCGTGGCGGTTACTAATGACCGCCACTATGCTAACGGGGTAATTTATGAACGCTCCTTAACTTGAGAATGTCGTATGTGACCGCCATTAAACTAGCAGCTACGACGGTCATCCGGTCTTCTTCGGACATTTTGTAACGCTTAAATAAATTTTAACTCGTTAAGCGCCGCTGTGGTCACGAATGACTGCTGTTACACTAAGAGCGGTCACATATGAGCGCTTAACTTAAGGACGTCGCATGTGACCGCTGTTACAATAGCTATATTTAGAAGTGATTACTTTATTTTGAATTATGTGAACCCATACATTTTATTTTAATATACCGAATGAGAAAAAAATTAAATTAAAATATAACATTAGTTTGTCAAACTAAAATTATTAATTACAATAATTTTTAATCACACAAATATGATAAATACAAATTAATATAACTAACCTAAATGTCTCGGCGTTTTAAATTAATTGAAACCCTTTAATTAATTTAAATGACAGATACAAACTAACAATCCAACTAACCTAAATTTCTTATCATTCCAAATCATTTTTTTATAAAAATTGTAAATAGTTTTAGGTTTATAAAAGAATTTGGCAAATTCACTGAATTTAAAATAATAAAATTATATTCAATAATATAACAAAAATCTTTAATTATTTAATTAAAATTATTATTAACTTAATTGACTTTCGTATCGGTTGCCAGTGACCGCAGAGGCCTAGGAGACCTATTTGGACAAAGTGTGGAAATTCCCTTAGCTCTCAACGAGATAAAATAAAATGTTAATATAAATGACATTTGCATGATGTGTAGGCTTTGACACGATTTCCCAGCGCAACTCTAGGTGCAGCACTGTTAATAAGAATCAAACAGTAAATGGGTATGAGTAAGAATTGTATCTAGATATTAGAAATAATTTTAAAAAATCCGTTACTGGCAGGTTTAGAGCCCTAGATCAATGATTCCGAAGTTACATGTTCTAATCAGTCATTCAAAACGAAAATAAAATATATATTTTAATATTTAATTAGGTGAAACGTACCTTCTTCAGCAGTATGCTGAGGAATACCATCATCTGAAAAAAAAAAGGAAAATGTATTAAAATTATTTACCGAACGACCTACTTGAGATGGGAGCACATTGACAGGATCATTTTCATCCTGGGATAGATTTGGAGTATCCGAACGCTTTATAACTTTATTTTCAATAAAAAAAAATTGGTGTCTCCATTGATGTGCTGTCATCTTAAGAAGGTAGTTGTAAAAATTAGGAACTGAAAATAATAAAAATTTCCTTAATATGTTACCAACCTGCAAGGTTATCTCCTGCATTATAATCTTCCAAATCTGGAACACCATGCTGCCCTTCCCCGTCATCAATATCAGTATCACCATTCTCTATTTTCGGTGGATTTACATTTTCTTTCGGCTCATCAACTGTTTCACTTGGTACAGGATGACCATCAATTATTGTACTTTGAACCTTCTCTACTTGTTTTTTTATATACGGTTTAGATTCAAGAGGTTTTTCTAAGGACTGTTTGTGTTCAGGTTTTTCTAAGGACTGTTTTTGTCCAGGTTTTTCTAAGGACTGTTTGTGTTCAGGTTTTTCTAAGGACTGTTTTTGTTCAGGTTTTTCTAAGGACTGTTTGAGTTTAGGTTTTTCTTGTTCCTGACTTCCTACTGGAACATTTTCGATTTGAGAAGTATCGACATCGTTCGTGTTAGGTTTCTCAGGTTCGGACTGGCTTTTAGGTTGATCTGCATTTGGTTTTTGTATCGGTTGTTGAATGCCTGCGAATACAAAATAAATGGCAAATTCTCATATGAAAGGAAAAAGTAAAACTAATGAAAAACAGTAGTGCAACAAAACTAACTCAGATTTTTACGTATTTCGTCGTTTTTAGATAAAAACGTATTTAACTTTTGCCTTTGTATATGTGTATCTTCCCCTACCCTGGGTGAATGCAACAGGTGGCCCGAAATAAGTGCAATTTTAGAAACAATAATGACATTTTTGTACAGTGTGTTTTGGACTATCAGTTAGGTCATTTCCATTTGACCATAACAAAGAGTTAAAGCAATGCCAGAAACGTATACGTAAACGTTATCTAATGACAGCTACGCATGCGCAATAGCTATATTTCTCACGTATCTATTTACGTCTTACGTAAACGTACGTGTTCTTACGTACGCCTAATACGCATTCGTATCGTGCCAAGCAAATGCTTCGGGAGCATCCGATCGCACCCGATTTAATAAAACTAATGACAGATTATAACTTTATATTGTTCTGATTTTTAAAATTTTAAGCCATAATACGAAACGAGTTTCATATATAACATACACATCACATTTATTCCTAGAAAGATAATTGATAACTCGATTATTTGTTAGTCGATTATTAAAATTGAATCTCCCACATAAAACATCATTATTTTCCAAATTTTCTTTATTATGTAGAATTTGTAATATACAGCATCATTTAAAGCCCTTAAATTTATAATTTACTCAATATAACTATCTACTTTTCTCAAAATAAGTACCTAAGGTTATAAAGTTGTAGATACGTTTACGTCAGTGCTTTTGATTTAACTATTGTTTTCTTCAAAATTGCTCGTTTAACGTATCGTCAATTTCCACGTTTACGTCAGAAAGATACGCATACGTATCTAGCGTTGCTGTAACTCTCTATTGTTCACTTATTTGACAGTAAAGTTTACAAACTAGTTCTTTTATTAAGTAAATCTTTTATTAAAGTACAGTCGTTTCTTTCTTGTTTGAACCTGTTTAGATGATTTTTGCGAACAACAATATTACTATACAATCTTTTCAGTAACGATGTGAATTAAACAACATTAAGTTTACTTTGGTATTTTAAGTGTTTGCAAGTTTGGATTTTGTTTTTTTGTTTTCTTTTTCTCAAAAATTGAAATAAAAAAATTATAAAACCAGAAATGTAGCACAATGTAGCTCTACAGGATGATGTGCATTAATATGTGTAAATATTCCAATCCACATCATTTAGACAAAATATTGTTTTTTACTGAGTTACAGTGTTTTACTTAAATGATTAAAAATGAATTTTGATCATTGCTTTAATGCTTCCAAATGTAAAATGTATCCTTATAACTTTAGACTATGACATAATACTAGTTGTACAATAAATCATATTTTTTTTGTGTCATCGGCTTCAACTGCAACCATTATTACCCTCGTGTTCTGTGTAGGCTTTGTTATTATTTGTGCAACCTAATGTTTAACTTTAAATATCTCGGATAATAATGAATTTAATTTGCTTTATCACTACAATCCATTTTTCCAGTTTGTATCACACGTTGCTTCAAATTGGTACAGAGTGAGCAAAAATACATAAATTACAAGTTAATTGCAAAATAAGAAATAAACTAATTAAATAAAATTACGTATTATTATAAAACTTCTTTGATAAACTATTAATAAACCCCCCGTATTGAGAACCAACTAGAATTTGTACTGACAAAAACGGTAAAACGTCGCGTACTAAAATTGATTATTTTCTCACAAACTACCTTTCTACATATACGGAAACCGTGGTGGACCTCTGTATTGCAGATCACCTAGCAATTGACGTCATTAAATTATATAAAGGAAAAATGTTATGTAACTGATATAAATGAAAAAATACATTTTAGAGACTTATCAGAGGCGAATTTACTTAATCTGCAGCAAAAAATAAGTTCTGAAAATTTTGATTCTGTGTATGAATATTTTGATAACATAAATCTTGCCTATGAAACATTCTTAAATATTCTAAATTACTATATGGAAGTAAATTGTCCGGTTGTCAGAAGAGCTGTAAAGACAAATAAAAAAATAACTGGATAACTCCAGACATTGTGAGGATGCGAGCTGATATAAGGAATTTATTTTGGTTAGTAAAAAAATTCTAATGATGTGAATATACATATTAGATACAAAGAAGCAAACAGATAATATAAATGGAGCAAAAAGATCTCATTTTCAAAAGGGATTGCACAATAAAACTTTTCAGCAGAAACAAAAATATATATGGAAACAGGTAAATCCCAAGATGGTAAAACATCAAAAGGTTCTTAAATTAAACAAATTGAAGTAGGAGGACTGTCAATTATTGAACTAAAACAACTAGCTAAAGTTTTTGCAGAGCTTTTTGCCACCTCCACAAAAAAAGCACTACAGTCTCATTTCAATGATTTGAATTTTAAAAATTTTACAGCGTCATGTGTCTCTCAGACTTTTTCTCTCCAGTTGATCATCATGATGTAATTGAAGTTATTCACTCATTAAAAAATGTGGGCAAAGATAATAAAACGTATTAGTCATCACATCTCTCAAATTCTAGCAGACTTAATCAATCAGTCTATTCAGCTAGGTATTTTCCCAGATTATCTGAAAGTAGGATATGTAACTCCTATCTTTAAAAAAAGGTGATAATAATTTAATTGATAATTATAGACCTATTACAGTGCCTACAATCTTAAGCAAAATTTTTGAAAAGTGTGTCCACAAAAAAATGCTAATATTTCTTAAAAAATATGAAATAATATGCAAAAATCAAAATGGATTCCTTCCAGAAAAATCTACTGAAAGTGCAGCAATAGATCTTTTTTAACTTCATACATACTTCTATCGATCAAAAGTTGTTTGTGGGTGTGCTTTTCTTTGATTTATTAAAGGCATTTGATTCAATCAACTTATATGTCGCTATTCAAAAATTGGAAGGGCTTGGTTTTAGAGGTAACTTTTTGTCTTGGTTGTCATCTTATATAAATAACAGACATATCTATGTCAAAGTCGGAAATTGTAAATCTGAACTAGAAAGTGTTGATATGGGCGTGCCTCAGGGATCAATTTTATGACCTCTAATTTTTCTATGCTACATAAATGATATGCCTAATCATATTAACTCAGAGAACATAACTTTATATGCAGATAACACAACAATTGCCACCAACGCACAAACCTGGGCTATAAGTAATTTCTACTGCAGATTCTGTCCCAGACATTATTTTATTACAAAATAACTAAAAAGGATTAAAAAAAAACTTTATTTATTCAGTTTCAGAAAACTTTATATTAATACACTGTACAAAATTACTTTTTATCTTTAATTTTATACTTATGCTATATTGATCTTTTTGTCAGACTACATATCAAAATTTCAAATTTTTTTTAACAATTTTATTTTATCTTTGGACTTTGAAAAATGTTCGACCTGGACCTTCATAGTTCAGATGTTGAAACAGGCATTTAAAAATAGTTACAGATGAGATGATATCTAATTTTTGGTGTATTTACAATATACCTGATTTACGTTTTTATATAAAAATCTGAATCCCTTAAAATTATTTTGGACTTTAAAAATTTTCAACCTGAACTGTTATAGTTCAGGAAAAAATCTACTTTAATATAAATATATTTGTAGATGAAGACTTTGATGATGGCTTTATAAACGTTTTTTCTTATATCTCAATTGTAAAGAAGGTGCTGTTTAGGTTTCTTCAATAAATAACCTTCCTTTTTGACATTTTCCAAATGCCCATAAAAAAATTAATATATTGAAATTTAATATATTTAAGAATATAATTAACTCAGTCATTAACAATGTAATGGGGGTTCCTGGTCAAAAAATAAAAAAAGGATTTATTTATACTTTATAGTTGACCCAGAGTTGGCAGTTTTTTTGCACATACGTTTTTTGGTTAAAAAAAAAAAGTGAGTGAAAATTTTGTAATTTTTGTTTTTTAAGATAAATATTTAGAATTCAAAATTTTATTAATCAACTCTCAGTAGAAAGGGTTCAAAAATTAGTGTAGAAACACAAATGTAAAAATTTTACCACAGGTTATCTCTAAAACTTCTTGATATTGATATTAGTGATACTTACTGACAATTAAAACAAATACCATTTTATTTTTCGCTTTTTTGTTTTTTTGTTTGCAGAATGTGATTTTTTTAATATATTAAAATTATATTTTTCAAGTTTGCTTGAATTTTTGGTTTAACTTTATTAATAATTTTTGACATATACTTATGAACTCTAAAAACCTTAAACAACTAAAAACTTAAAAACCTACTTAAATATTTTTCATTACTTAGGTATTTTCCAACCTTGAGTTGACCAAGAGCAACAAAGATAGTTAATATGAATTATGTCTGTGATAATCAAAAACCTGAAATCCAAATTGTCATTGAAAGAAAAATAATTGTCATAATTATAGAATAGGGTGACCATATTTCTTTTGACTTAATGCTGAGCAGGAATAAAACATTGATGAACTTTGGAGAGGTGATAAGGACCTTTTTTCTGTATCTTCCCAAAGATAAATACAAAAAACAGAAGTCATATATTACATTTTTGTCTTGTTACATTTCAGTAAATTATGTACTACATTACAAGACAATAATGCTGTTTTGCTGTACAATATCAAATACTGGACAAACTATGAAAAGGTTGTACAATACAGTGAAATTCAGGGAAATTTATTTCATGCCTAACTCTAAAGACAAATTTTATAGCTATCATCTTACCTGGAGGTTGACCATTAGTTGGAGGTTTGTTGCCTGATGATTGGCCTTCAACTTTGAGTTTTCCATGTTCTTCTAACTTATTAGGTTTAGGTTCTGTTCCAACATTTGTTTCAGGTTGTGTTAGATCATTAGATGTACCACCACCAGCAACAACTGTTTGTTTACCTTTTGGTACCTTAGCTTGTACATTACTGTCAATGGTATCAGAATCACCTCCATGGACAATGTTAACTTGGTTTGGTTTTTCTTGTTTATCTACAGAAACAGCAGCTTCTTCTACATGTTCAGAAGCATCTGGTTTATTAGCAGGGACAGCCATGTATTCTGGATTGCCCGCAGAAGTCTTGGTTATTTTGTCAGTCGAAGTGGTTGAATTGAGGGTAGCATTTTTGAGCAGATTATTATAATAATGAGAAAAAAGACATTCTGGATTAATACCATCTGCTAAACCAGTACATAAATGATAACATGCAAATTCTTTAATGCTGTTTATTGAATATTCGACTATGTTTTTACAAATATCGGGCAGTGCATACTCTTTACTGATTACCTGTGGTAGAGTTGGATATTCCATCTGCTTTGGTTTAGATTGACAGTAAGATATTATTCGATTACTATACAATAAACATAAAATTTGTTGTTCATTGTCCTTAGTTAGTGGTATCGTTTGATTAATTTCCCCGAAATTTTGACAATTTGCGAATATTTCTTTTTGATTTGTTAAAAGTTCAGAGGCATTCAAACAATAATTATTTATAGCATTATATAAAGTACTTCTGGGTTGTCGTGGTACAGGTGAGGTATTTATTGAGTATGGTCCAATTGCCATCAAACTATATAATAGTATTAAAAAGGCCATGTTTCTGTAAAACAAATAAGGTAAACATAAAAAAATTTCCACCTATCAAAAATGTTAGGTTATAATATATAACCTACTTACATAAAAAATGGGATAGATAGGTACATACCTTTTTCTCAATTATAAAAAATAGACTGTGATCATTTCCTATAAAAGATAAATTGAAATGAGTTAAAAAACACAACTTTTAAAATATTCTGAAATTTCAATGACAATTTTTCGAGTTTTTCTGACACGAGACAGCGAGACACGGAACACGGACACGGTCACAATCACAACCACAATCACAACCATGGAGGAAGGATGTCGGATGTCACGACGACTCGACGACACCACGAACCACAAAAGGCGGAACGGCACGAACACAACAAACAAAATTCTTGGACCTATGTTCCATGTTTTTGAAGCCATGGTATGGACAGAACCGTTTTGGCCCAAATGTTTTAAAATAAAATTTCAGCATTTGAATATTAATTAATTAATTTAATTTTTACACCAAGAGACGATATTTTTTTTGTTGTAAAATTGAGTTTCCATACAGTCAAATACTATTAAGAATCTAAACAAACAGATAGATATAAACAATTTTAAACCACTCTCGTTTCAGAAATAATATATTTGAAACAGATAATTGCAATATATGTAATACAACTTTAAAAAGGTATGTAAATAACTTTGATATAAGATATAATCAACTTAAGTAAGAAATTTAACCACACTGTATTGGACACTTATCTTTTATTCTGAGTACTGTTATTAAAATTTTACTAAAAGTGACTAGATTTTTAACACTTTAAAGTTTGTTAAAATCTCTTTTGACAAGATTTTTTTAAAAATGTCTGTCTTTGAAGGAGTGAATAAGAGTTGAAGGGTTAATTATTATCTCCTCTCTTTCTGTTTGCCAATTAAAAAAAATCATGATTTTTTTCAGTTAATTTTACATTAAAAAGGTATTCTTAGCAAAAGTCGGGAAAACGAACCGTTTAAGTCCTAATTTGACTTTAATTTTCAAGTTGTTTGTCTTTTTAAGTAAATTACATTCTCGGTAGGCGGTGAAAAAATATCAGTGACGTTGTTTATTGTTTGACAGTTACTATTTATTGCTTTCGTGTCCACAATCTGGTGGACACAATAACAATGTGAAATTGAAAATAGTTTGTATAAATACTCCCGAGTGAGATGAAAAATGCTCATAAAGACGCATCTCAAACCTATTGACAAACATTCTACCCCACTCCAGTTCATTGGAAGCATTGCAATACCACCAATATTCTATTTAAGGGTATGGTCCAGTATTAACCGACTACTAACCGCAAGTAACCAGGATTTTTTGACAGCGGTTCCTGAAAAAAACTAATTTCTTGGTTATTTTTGGACCACGGGTGAGATTTACGTCACTTTTGTGACAGATTGACATTCGACTTAATAGTAACCATAAAAATATAGTGGTTAGTGGATTAACGTTTGAGTCACGGTTTGAGTCACCATTTTCAGGTAACCGCGTCCCTAATTTAACCGATTTTTCAGGAATGTCAAATAGAGCGGTTAGTTTTGGACCGAGTAACCGATATTTCGGTTAATAACGGACCATGTCCTGTTGATGAACTGACATCAGCCCAGGAGCTCGTTCAGATGATTTTACACGGGAGTAGACTAATTTTCTTAGATCGTTTGCCCAGGTTAGTTTTGAGTAATTCTCATTAGCCCAAAGTTTCTGAACGGCAACGAAAGTAAACGTCAACGAATTTGAAATTTAAAGTTTGTTACAGATATTTTAAAATGTTCAATGTCCCACCCTTCCCGTTGTTACTTGTGTCTCGTGTAGTTTTACTTTTTACCATAGTTTTTTAGCTGTTTTTTCTTTTTATTTCAATATTAACTTATTCACAACTTTATTAATAATCAAGATTATAATGAATGATCTATAAAGTCAATAAGACAAGAAATTTTAGATTATTTATTTTAAAATTCCATGTAAAAACACCTTTATGATACGCAAAAATAATATGAAACAACTTCTGCAAAAGAACTCTACGTTCTGTCAAATTTACTCAAATGAACCCAGTCTAAACTGGGTAAAAAAGAGTGCACTCTAAACTAATTAGACTCGACTTTCTGTGGTGCGTTTGATTTGATCATCGGAGATCTCCGAGCGCTGCAAACGCGTTTGAATTGACACTCCGAGAGATCCCTAAAGTGTTTGTTTTGCTTTGGAGGGAGAACATAGAGCGAGCTCGATGTTCTCAGAGCAGATGGATCGAGAAGAGGGAGAAATTTGTCTTTGTCTCTACCTATCTCTTTTTAACTAACTTACAAACAAATTTGAATCTCAAAATTAAAGACCAGACAAGAAGTCAACAAATTACTTAGCCGCTTTTGTCTTATAGCTAAAATTGTTCGTCATAAAAAACACAAAATGTGTGTTTGGAAAATACATTTTCTCTGTCCAGATCTAATCACCAGTAATCACAGGCATGGAGTATGAGAGCGAAGCGGGCATTTGTGGTATATGCTGCATTTCAGGGCCATTACCCCTTATTATTAAAAGTTTTTCCATTTTCTTTACTTTTTGCTCACTATTTTGACCTGTGATTTTGACAATCACAAAAAGCGAGGTTATGTTTTTTACTGTTTTATTTGATTTGATTCAATGCTCTATTGTGACGTCATCACTTCTCGGTCTCCTCGACGCTCGCTCGATCGAGTTTCAAATCAAACGCCCCTCTGAACGAGAGTAGCTAAGGGTGAGATTACAGAACGTCTGCAACTTTGCAGATCTGCAAATATGGCGGCAACTTTGCAGATCTGCAAATATGGCGGCAACTTTGCAGATCTGCAAATATGGCGGACTTACAGATGCAAGTATCCAAAAAATATCTGCAATATTTATTACCCCTAACAACACTAAATCCAAATCCACCCTTAAGAAGGTTAGATCATCCTACAACCATAAGGTCTTCTGTTTCTTTTGATTGAATACAGTTCATGGTATCAGATTATCGAGTTTTTAAACATAGTAATGGATTTGGGTTTAGTGTTGTTGGGGGTAATAAACCACAATAAATATTGCGAATTTGCAGATCTTTTTTGGAATACGAAAACTTGAAACATGCATATGTAAGTCCGCCATATTTGCAGATCTGCATAGTTGCCGCCATATTTGCAGACGTTCTGTAATCTCACCCTAAAATGTCCAAATTGAACGCTCGGCTGTTCTTGAACGAACCAAAACCAAATTGATCGCACTCTTTTTGGTCAAAGCGTGTTTTCTGAACGCGCTCCTGCTGACATTTGACCCTGACACATGACTTTATAAACGTCATGTTTTTAATCTTGTCTACTCATCGACATTCCCTAAACAAATTTTAAATGTTTTAAATTTTAATAGCTATACAAAAAATTGTTCGTTTCGTTATTTTATTTATTTATCTGTGTCATCATGGCTGATTATTTTGGAGAAATGGGTTGGACGCCACTAGAAGATGGACAAGCACCCGATCATTTTTTGCATTTAGCTCGTCTTTTTAGAGATTTTAACATGTTCGAGGAATTGAACGTTTTGAATGGAAAAGAACTAGCTCCTCCAGCTTCGAAGAGTATTGTGGCAGCAATTCCAAACGAAAACATAACTGATAATGGTATATATCGATATTCAGAGATCAGAAAACAAATTAATTCTTGTTTGTATTAATTTTTAGATTCACAATGCCCTGTATGTCTTAAAGAACACGTAAAGGGCGAAACTGCTAAAAAATTGCCTTGTGGGCACTTATACCACAATGATTGCATAATGCCTTGGTTGTCAAAAGTAAGTTTAATAATATGTAAATTCATCAAATAAGTGCAGTAACTATTTTTCAGACAAATTCTTGTCCATTGTGTCGATATGAATTGCCTACTGATGATGAAGACTATGAAGCATGGAAGAGTGAAAAGAAGAGAGCAAAAGAAAGGGAAGCTGATATCGAAAATCTACATAATTCAATGTTTTCTTGAAAAATAATGTAGATTAATACATAGTTAATATGGATGAGGGAATTTGATTTGTTATGGTAATTTTTAAATTAAGACATTTCTTTTTAAGAGTGTGTCCCCAACAATTATAAATTTTAATATGATAAATATCAATCTTTTGCAATACCAATTTTGTTCTGCTATATTACCACCTTTTAAAAATGTTTCATGTAGTTATCTAAGTGTTTGTTTTATTATAAAAATAAAATCTTTACCATTGTATCTTTTTTGTAAGAGAAACGAAAGTGGTATATTCATTTTTAAAAAATTATTTTAAGTATCCATTCCATTGAATGGGTGGCAACTATTAAAGGTTTAAGAGCAGAAGAGTTCAAGTGAAAAATGTCATTGGATTTGAAATAAAACAAAGTTACAGTAAGATGTTTTATAAAAAATACATTAATAAATTACATAAAAACACTCATTTTGATATATATTTATAATAAATACATAGTTTATCAAGATATACATGTTCTGATCTTTACAAATATGTGAAAATTTTATTTCAAAAACATGTATATCTTAAAAAATCTTATAATGAAGTAAAATTATATAAAGTAGTTTTTAAATATCTTTTGATTCTAAAATGAACTATCACAGTATATAAATAGGTATATAATTACATATATTAATGTCTATGTACACTTAAAATTATATAGTGAATGTAATATACAAAAAAAATGTTTTTTAAAGTAGTACAACAAAGATTAAAAATTTAGCAGATAATTTACAGATAAAACCAGATAATTTACTAACAAATTAATTACAAAATACTCAAAAACACTGAAAGTATTTGAGTAAATAACATTTATTGACATTTATACATACACTGAGAATCATTAATGATCATAAAGTCTACTTATAGATATATACAACAATAAATATATATTTTTTAATCAGTCTTTTTCAATTTTGTTTGTTTGTCTGAGCTTGAAAAGTTTTTACAATTCAACAATTATTCACATAAGCTTTAATGTCCACTTTCTACAGTATCATATATACAGGTTTTTTTTATGGGCATTGACACTGGATTGCTATCAATTAAATATACAGTGCTGGCAAGATTAAACCTTCAGTCCTGCTTTGCTTGTGGAGTAAATGGCAAATTCAGAAAAGGAAACAACACATCAATGTTAACAGTTATTTCCTTCACTGCATATGCAAATATCATTTACTATACAGGGTGGGCCACTTAAAAGTTCCCCCTTATCTTTATTGTTATTCATCGAGATATCTAAATCATTTTTTTCTTGTTTGAAAGACTAGAACAAATACTTTCTTACGATGAATTCAATTATTCTGTGACGTCATGGCTTACTTCCGGTTTTTCCGGAAATAACAGAAAATCGTTAATTTATTTTTTATTTTTAAATTGAAACCCACTTTTTTATTGTAAATTTGGATTTTTGTATAATCGTGTATTGAAAATTTTCTGACAGCTTTCAAAATGGTCGCCATTTTGGATAATATTTGTTCTAAACATGTTACTATTCATTTATGAAAAAAAATATATAGGAATGTATGATCTTTATAAAATCTTTGTTATCTTCAAAATTCCCGTTGAGACCCATTTACCGTATACCAGTGGCGTATCTAAGCATTTTTAATATTAGCAAACCGTTTAATAATTCCATCCGCTATTATCTTCGTTGTTAATTGAGATATCGAAATGAAAACTTTTTTGTTTAAAAGCTTATAACAGATACATTCATATACTGGATCCAATTGGTCTGTGACGTCATGGCTTACTTTGGACTTTTCCGGATATAACTTCCCAGACAACACACCAAATCCCAGAGATATCCACAGAATATCTTTTGTGGATATCCAATATATCCACAGGGTATCAGAAATATTCCGTGGATCTAATATGGATATCCAAATGTCCGTCTATATCCAGAATATAGAATGGATATTCAGCAAAATATCTAATGGGAATCTTCCAGAAAATACAAGAAATCACAGAGATATCCACAGAATATATTTTGTGGATATTCAATATATCCAATATGGATATCCAACCAAATGTCCGTCTATATCCCAGGATATAGAAGATATTCGGATATTCAGCAAAATATTTTATGGGTATCTTTAGTAGAGGTTCATAAGTAACCAATGATTATTGAATAACGTCGAAAGAAAATAGCAGAGATAAAAAATATTTTCAACACTCTGCCTTTGATTTTGCCCACTAAGGAGAAAGTCATCCTCATTAGGACTCTTCAGCAATAAATGAAAATTCTCGACTCCAGTCTCTAATGGAGTGATTAGGACACAAATTTCGATCGAACTCAATTACGGCGGGTCGAGCATGAGTAGATGCGATAGTGGTATCGCCATCTATAATAAGTAAGCAGAATCAAATAACATCTAGTGGATATCCACGATGGTTTGCGTTCGCGCCTAGACTTTGATATATTTAGTGGATGTTCATGGGATATTGAATACACCTTAAAAAATTAATTTTAAATATCTGAACGATACTATTAGCCACAATGGCGTAATTTTTTAATAATTTGCTATATAATTACTATTATTTATGGACATTTGCATGTCTATAAATTACATTTCATGGATATAAAATAGATATCTACCATGAACTGGACATTCAGTGGATATTGGGATGTTCAGTAGATATCCAAAGGATTTGGTGTGCTGTCTGGGTTAAAATCGCAATTTATTTTTTAATTTAAAATCGAAACCTCTTTTTTGTTGAAAAGTTGAATTACTGAAACAATATTGTACAAGAAGCGTATATTAAAATTTTAATGTCAGCTGTTAAAATGGCCGCCATATTGGATAATATTTTTTCTAAACATGTTACTATTAGGCATTCCAAACTAAATGGCTACCAGTGGGTTTTGACGGGTTATGATATGGCAAAATTATGGCAACCCTGTAGGCCTGGTGATTTGACAAGGTCAATGAAATAGATAGTTACATAGATTGATCATCCATATTTTTCAAAATAAACATAAGCTTATGCCTTGAAGTAAAAATGTAAGCAATTATTTTTTTTTAAATATCTAAAGGCTAAAAATTGGTTTTAAAACACATTTTTGCTAAACCGATTCAAATTAATAAATATTTGCCAGGCAATATGGCCGCTCGTAAACGACCAGCTTTGAGCAATCTATATAACTATATATGTATCATTGACCCTGTTAATGACAGCATGACAACAGGGTTGCCATATCTAAACTGTCATTGCCCACTGGTAGCCATTTGGACAGGTCGTTGGAATGCCTAATTAATTCGTTTATGGAAAAAAATATGGGAATGTATGATCTTTATAAAATCATTGTAAGCTTCAAAATTCCTATTAAGACCCACTTACAGTACACCAGTGGCGTATCTAAGCATTTTTATCATTAGCAAACCGTTTAATAGTTCCATCCGCTTTTATCTTCCTTGTAAATTGAAATATTGGAACGAAAACTTTTTTGTTTAAAAGTTTGGAACAAATACTATCATATACTGGATTCAATTGGTCTGTGACGGGTGTTGAAAATTTTCTGTCAGCTGTCAAAATGACCGTCATATTGGATAATATATTTTTTAATGTTACTGTTAATTCGTTTGTGGAAAAAAATATGGGCATGTATAACATTTTTGTGAGCTCCAAAATTTCCATTAAGACCCATTTACATTGTACCAGTGGCGTATCTAAGATTTTTGTTATTGTAAACCGTTTAATAATTTCACCCGCTCTTATATTCCTTATTGATTGAGAAATCGGAATGACAACTTTTTGTTTGAAAGCTTGGAATAAATAATGTCGAATAATGCTTCAACTGATCTGTGACATCATGGCTTACTTCCGGTTTTTCGAAAATAACAGTAAATCGCAATTTATTTTTTATTTTTAAATGGAAACTCACTTTTTTATTGAAAATTTAAATTTCTTGAACTTATCAATGTTTATTATTGTATGGTGGGTATTGTTTTATTATATTGATTCCTTAAATCTTTCTGATGAAATTAAGCTACTCTAAAATTTAAAATAAAAATAAACATTTTTTAAATTTAAAGATCTGTTGTGTGTCGTATTAATTTATTTTTCTGCTACTGTGCCTTAAAGGACGTACATAATGCGCACTACGGAGTGCATAAAGTTTTACTTTTTTCACTAAGACACAATTTTTAGTATTTTGACATGACAAATGACATTATATTTCAAACTTTCTTTATGCGTTAGTGCGTAAAGTAACCTTTGTATTTTTAATCTTAGTGGGCAATATGTACGGTAGTAGAAATATCGTATGCAATTCGTATGTAAAGGCGTTTTTTAAGGCCATTTTATACACTTATTATAAGCATAAATAACTATCTTTTGTTATTTTATTTATCAGTAGGTAGTTGACTGATGTAGTGGTTACAAGCGCTGAAATCGTATGATTTCAGTTCGATGACAGATATGCTCAAGAAATATAAATTTTCAATAAAAAAGAGGGTTTCCATTTAAAAATAAAAAATTAATTGCGATATACTATTATGTTCTAAAAACCGAAAATAAGCCATGACATTACAGACCAGTTAAATCAATTATTTTACAATATTTATTCCAAGCTTTCAAACAAAAAAAAAAAAAATAAGAGCGAGTGGAATTATTAAACGGTTTGCTAATAACAAAAATCTTAGATACGCCACTGGTATACTGTAAATGGGCCTTAATAAGAACTGTGTAGCTCACAAAGATTTAATACATTCCCATTATTTTTTTGCATAAACGAACATATTAAAAAAAATATTAACCAATACGACGGTCATTTTGACAGCTGACAGAAAAATTTCAGCACACTACTTCTTGTCGAAAAACGTCCCAGAAATTCAAATTTTCAATAAAAAAGGGGTTTTCATTTTAAAATTAAAAATCAATTGAGATTTTCAGTTATATCCGGGAAAATCAGAAGTAAGCCATGACGCCATAGACCAATTGGATCCAGTAAATGAAAGTATCCATTATAAGCTTTTAAACAAAAAAGTTTTCATTCCGATATCTCATTTAACAACAAATATAAAA